TCCTTCTCAGGAAGGAGATCTACCCAGAGACCACAGAGAACCAGCTATAAATGGGTCAGAAGGAAGGCGTCAGGTTGAGACATTCTTTTTTTTTTCCTTTGAAAAATATTTATTCATGGGCGAGCAGGGTAGTGGTTATGTTCACATGTTCCACTTTAGCGGCCTGGGGTTCAGTTTCAGATGCCGGGCGCAGACCTACACACTGCTCATCAAGCCATGCTGTGGCAGTGTCCCACATACAAAATAGAGAAGGATTGGCACAGATGTTAGCTCAGGGCCAATCTTCCTCACCAAAAAAAAAAAAGAAAGAAAAGAAAGAGGAAGGAAGGAAGGAAGGAAGAAAAAAGAAAAATATTTATTCATATCCTTCCTACTTTTAGACAGGAAAGTTAGCTTCTTGCCTCTACATTACAGGCTCATTTCTTAAGCTCAAATCAGAGGATCAGAAAATGGCAGGAGGGACTCACACTCGTTGCTCTGGATGGCCCGTGTTTCAAGGTTCCAGCAGTGTGTTAGTTTATATTTTACAAGGGCTACTGAAGTGAAATGGAGTGGACTTTATTTAATGACAGTCTGACTTACCACTACATAATTTTTAAAATTTTATAATTAAAATTTCTTTTGAATTATTATGCCTTTACTGACACAATATTGGTAAAGCTGCTTATCTTGATCCAGACTTCTTCAGGGGAATTGTTTCAGTTCTCCTTTTTAAGTATTGTAGAAAATCAGCTGACCCTTAAACCATGAGGATTTGTTTTAATGAGCCATGAATACCTCCCCCCACTTCAGCACCAGCAGATTACCAGCTCTAGGCATTTAACCAAACGAATGGGAGACTGCAGATATTAAAATCTGACCTTCCAAATCAGATGATGAGCTCCATGCCAAACTGTTAACTACTGGAGAAAGCAAAGGAAACCCTGAAAAAGCCAAATAGGGCAAGTCACCCTTAGCTTCTAAAAAGCCTGCCTTGAAAAACATCCTGTTCTTTGAAGTTTTTTTTTCTTTAGAGTTGTGCAAATTTGGTTCAAAAAATAGCTCAACTGGTTTGTATAAAGCAAGGGGGTGGGTGTGTGCATGTATTTATGATCATTATTTTAAGTTGTATGCCTCAGCACTGAGAACAGATGAAGACAGGACATTGACTAAACAGTACAAGACATTTTGTAGTTTCGGTTCCTCTAGTCAATGCCTGAAGGGTTAGAAACAGTACTGAAATAATTTCCAAAGCATCAGGAATTTCCATTTCCACCCAACGCAGTCTTTGTTTTCTTCCAGCAGGTCTCTGTTAAAGAAAAGAAGGAAAATTTCAGCTTGTGTATAAAGTTTTCCACCTTATTTTAGAGAGACACTTCCAGGTTAATAACGTGAGTGTACAAGCCCCTCCCCCCGACCTTGTTTATTCCACCAACCTCTCCGCAGACAATGTCCTCCTTTAAACCCATCCTGTTTGGGGGAAGCAGCTACTTCCTGATGTCCATCACTCAAGGCAGTGGTTTTATTCTTAATAATGCCGGTGCGCTTTTTTGGTGCCATGTCTAAGATGCGATTAATTTGCCAAAATGTTTAGACTAGAGTAACTTTCAATTGGTCACCTGGATTGTGACTTCTTTTGTGGTTTGTTTTTGTTTTTCAAATTGCTTTCTGTCAAACACATCTATAATTCCCCCACGGAAAATATTTGTATGTACTGCTATCTAAAAACTAAAGGGTCATCAAAAACGAGGAAATTCTGAGAAACTGTGATGACCAAGAGGAGCCTAAGGAGACACGACAATTAAATGTATCGTGGTGTCTTGGAGGGGGTACCTGGGGAAGACATTAGGGAAAAATTAAGGGAATCTGAATAAACTGTGGGCTTTAATGTGTAATAATGTATCAGTATTGGTTCAATAATTGTAACAAATGTACCATTCTTGTGTAAGCTGTTAAAATAGGGGATACTGGGTGTGGGGTAGAAGGGAAACTCTGTACCATCTTCTCAATATTTCTGTAAATCTTAAACTGTTATAAAACTGTTATAAAAATAGTTATAAAAACTTTTTAAAACATTTTTTAAAAAAAGCTAAAGTGATTACTTGAACTTCAGTTGTTTTAACTTTTTACACTTTTATCCGTTTGTTTAACTGGTTATTCTGCTCCCAGATGGCCTTTTTGTTTGTATAACTGCTGGGGAGGCCAAGGCTCTTACACTCATGGTTTGGTGGCCCGCTGGATGCTACACATGAGACCATTATAGGCCCTTGGGTTCTGAATAAATTGTGTTTGAATAAAGGTCAGCATGATTGTTTCTTTTTATTCCAATTCTAAAAGAAAACAATCTGTTTGTCTGCCATCTTTTAGCTGTACCCTCTTATCTGCCTCTCTAATAAACATTTATCTCAAAAAAAATTAAAGTGCATAAATGGTCTTTTTTTTTTTTGAGGAAGATCGGCTCTGAGCTAACATCTGCCAACCCTTCTCTTTTTGCTGAGGAAGACTGGCCCTGAGCTAACATCCATGCCCATCTTCCTCCACTTTATATGGGACGTCTGCCACAGCATGGCCTAACAAGCAGTGCGTTGGTGCGCGCCCAGGATCGGAACCTGCGAACCCTGGGCTGCCACAGCAGAGCAGGCGTTCTTAACCGCTTGCACTACCAGGCCGGCCCTGCATAAATGTTCTTTTAAATTCGCAGTGACAGGGTATCTTATTACAACCTAAGAAATGAGATCAATTCCCTGGAATGAGGTGCCGAGCGAGAGAATTAATTCTACCAGCATTATCAGAGCAAATGCAAATACAAAAGATGTCAAAAGTCGGCTTGGTGGGCAAGGAGTTGAGACGCCCTCCAGCGGGTCCCGGTAGAGACTTGTAAGATTCGCGCAGTGTGGCTTGGGGTTCTTTAGGCTGCACTAAGAAGGCCAACTCTGCCTACTCAAGCCAAGGGTTTCTGATTTATGGCGATGTCTTAGAGTCGTCTGGAGGAAGCGCAGGGTAGGATTGCGGTGGGCGGTGGCTGGAAGCAGGGCTCAAGGCTGTGCGGACCCGGGGTGGGGGCTTGGGGGGCGTGGGGTGGGCGGGCTCTGCTCCGGGTGCTCCCGGGGAAATGGTTGCAGCTGGTAGAGGCCTGGTTCAGTTACCCTTGGATCCTGCAGGCTGGATTCACCCAGGTCAGATCGGGGGCCTGTGCCTGGCTCTGGTTGCATTGGCGCTCTCCTGCCGGCCGTTTACCCTGTGGAATTAGGGGCGTGGGGGCAGCTCCCCAAGATGGGTATGGGATAGAGGTGAGCAGGCAAACCGACAGGCAGCAGCTCCCTGGAGGGAAGAGGGGGTGGGCTGGCCTGGAGAGAAGCAGTGGGCAGGGCAGGCCTCCCAGAGGTGTGGAGCAGGTTAGGAGGACTAGGTGGAGGGGGGGTCCTGATTCCTGGGGCTCTAAGGAGTCCAGGAGGTTCACTTCCAGCCTACCTGTAACTCAACTACCTGGTCTCCCATATGTCCACTCTCCACTGCTCACTAGCCGGCCTCAGACCTGGGAGGGACCCACGTATAGGCATTTTTAAATACCCCAGCTAGTTCTAATTTGCAGCCAGATTGAGAATCACTCTCTCTTATTATAGTATCAGCTTCCTCTTAATCTCAGACTTGCCAATGTCCATCATGACATCTCCAGGCGCTTGTTTCAACTTCTGCTTCTCCTTGATCAATTCCCTCCGTATTTCCTGGTTTGAATGCCCAGAATGTTTGCCCAGAGCTTTCCACCAGCCATGAGCTGTCCTGGGGTCATTTACTCATCCTTTCCAGTTTTGATTCCCAAGAAAGTGAATTGGATCCGGTGACTTCTTGCCACTGCGACTGTCTGGGTGGGGATTTGTGGCCCCAGATTCCCTCCCACGTTGCAGGCCAGCTTGTCCCATGACTGCTAGTTGACGGGTCCAGTCAGGGGAAGAGGGGCACTACAGAACCTATGGAACAAAATGGGCCACGGAGGGCTGTGGACCAGGCAGTGTCCTTTAGATTGACCTGCCCAGTCAGCAAGTGCCGACATCAGGACGCCTTGGATTTTCCCCTGGAAAACTCTACACTATTCTTAAAAGGACACTTGGCTCAGAAAATGTGTCATCTTAATTCAGCAGTTTCCACAAGTAGCACTTAATCAAAAAGCTAGGAGTGGCTGTATCAGACGCAATATTATACTCTGGCCACTCTAAGATTAAACCATTTCGTCTTCTTTTTTAACCACCTAAAAAGAAACCCTATGACTCCTCTCCCAACGTTCCGTTTAATTGGGGGAAGAGCTGCTGCGGGGCAGGGGGCAGGGTGTTTGTGTGAGCTACTTTAAAATGTTCTTGTTGCCAGATTTGGGAGCAGACACGTGGAAGTGGGAGGATTGACACATTTCACTGGGCCTGAAGAGTCCTGTGGGGTGGAGCAGAGGGAAGAGTCTGCTTTTCTCTGGTGACCCCAGACTCCTAGGAGGCCTGCCACATCACCTTTTCCTCCAGTGGAGAACAGCTGTTTTGTCCCAGCCTCTTCTTTGGAGAAAAGAACCCCTACTGCTTTTCGCAACTGTTCCTCCCTCCACTCCAAACCGGAGTCCAGAGAGAGGCTGCGGCGTACATGACTCCTGATCACCTAGTCCAGGGTGGCTCCTGATTTAAGAGGGGTTGATGAGAGGCCTTCCCTGGCATTCTTTGAACTGGAACTTGGAAGGAAAGTCTGCCCTTCTCATGGCCTGGACATTAAGATATAAAAATTAAGAGCTGCTGGCAGTATAATCACTGCTCTATGGTGGAAACCAATCCAGAGTGAGAGATAATAAAGCTGATTTGCAGAGAGAGGCAGACAGGAGATGCAGAGAAGACCTGGTGGCGTTGGTGACATTTAGCTATACCCATCTCTTCCGCAGTTTGGCTCTTCAATGCTTCCTTCAATCTGTGAAATGCCCCAGTGTCTTCCCAGTAATGCTCAAGTGATCAGTTATCTATTGCTACATAAAAATTTACCCCAAAACCTAGTGGCTTAAAGCAACAAACATTTATTATCTCACAGTTTCTCTTGGTCAGGAATTGGGGAGTAGCTTAGCTGAGTAGTTCTGGCTTAGGTTGCAGTCAAAACATCAGCTGGGGCTACAGTTTTCTGAAGGCTTGACTGTGACTGTGACTTGGAAGGATCCACTTCCAAGATGGCTCACCCACATGGCTCTTGGCTTGGCAGAAGGCTCAGTTCTCTGCTGGCATTTGGCAGGCCTGTTTCATTGCCTGCTGGTAAGAAGCCTCAGTTCCTCCCATGGGCCTCTCCACAGGCTGCTTGAGTGTCCTCACAACATGGTGGCTACCTTCCCTAGAGAGAGGAATCCAAGAGAGAGCAAGGAGGAGGCCACAGTGCCTTCTATGACCTAGTTCTGAGGCTGCACATTGTCACTTCCACCTTATTCTGTCCTTTAGACGCAGATCACTATGTTCAGTTCACCCTCAAGAGAACGAAATTAGGCTCCACACAAGTAATCAACATGCATCTAATTCTGTGGTCTCTCTGTTCTCACTGACCACTGCCTTCTTCTGGCTTCCGGGACTCTAGTCTTAGGTGTTTTCTCACTACATCACCTAAAAGCTGGCCTCTCGGGGTGTCTAGCTCTTTCAGAGGTGTCTCAGGCCCTCAGGAGTTTGTTTTATCCTGTCTTCTCAGCTCTGACACAATTGAGTGACTCTATTCCACGTAAAAGGCAGTTCTGCCCTGGCAGGACACCAAGCCCTGCCCCCCACCGTAGAGATAGAGAATATTTTTAAACCAAAAAATGGGGACACAGTATGTGAACAGAGTATGTAAAACTTGTGCTGCTCCAAAACTCTAGGGCCCAAGGTTGTTTTACCTACATACTCTTATTTCCTAGGGAGGTAGGAGGGGCCTTCAGAACCGACAGTGACCACTGATTTCCCTGGTGGTCAGTTACATGCAAGACAAAGGAGGAGTTTGAGGAAAGAGTGGATGGTCAAGCTGCCATCACCAGTGACTGGGATGCCGAGGACTGAGAGCAGCAGTGGATCTCTCAGAAAGCTGTCCAGGAGGGAGTGGGGGCAGGAGGGCAGGAGCCACTGTGAGGGGTGGGCAGGTGAACCCAGCAGGGCTCTGGGTTGCAAGCAACAGACACTGACCAGGCTGATGTGAGCAGAGAAGAATTTTGTGAAAGGATATGAAGGCAATGACAGAATTTTGGGGAACACTGGTGAACCAGCTTCTGAAAATGGGCAGGAACAGGAAGCTCTGAGCCAGAGCAAATTACCCTGCAGACCCAGACACTGGGACCACTGCCATGGACTCCAGAGACAGCAGCTTGTAACACCAACTCTGCCACCGCCACTACCCAGAACACTGGACACTGCTGCCACTGCTGCCAGAATGGATGCACCACTGCCCCTGCTTCTTGGCGTCACTTGCTCCCAATTCAAAGTGCAGGGCAGACCTGTCTGGCTGAGTCTAGATTGGCTTGTCCGTTATTTGCAAGGGAGCTAGGAAAGCAAGCCTTTTCAGCTTCTGACGGGTGAGGTGGAGCCCACCTCCCACCAAGATGCAAAGGGTAGGGGAGGACTCTTCAAACATAGGAAAAAGATCCTGATCCAGGCAGCCCCAAATCCTTAGAGTCCACTCCAGGGAGTCAGAAACTGAGCATCCAAGATCTTTCTTGTGGAGGGGAAGAGAAAGAGAGTGGTAAACTTAGGAAACAGTAAAACTAAAGGATCTTTTCTTTTTGGTAAGATTCAGGGGCCTGAGCAGTTTCAGGGAGGAGAAACAAGAAAGTCACTTGACAGGACAAAAGTAGCTGGCACTCCATTCTGCCTCTGTTGCAGCAGGACAGAACTGTCCAAAGATGAGACCACTCTGGACAAAAGGACATTGCTTCTGAAACAAAGGAACTAGAAGCATGATTAACGACTCTGTAAAAGCTTCAGCTGTCTGTTGCCTTTAATTAACATCTAAATAGATAACATATTCTTCTATAATTATAATATGGAAATGTCTACGAACAAAATAGATAACTTTTTTGGCAAACGCCTAGGAAAGAATGGTCAAGTTCATCCAAGGTTTTAAGCAGCAGCATCTATGCAGCCAGGGCGTGGTCAGTGTTTGGGGACGGAGGTAAATATCCGCAATCCGTGCATTCCTTTGATTTCTTCTTTTAGTGCCTAAGCAAGTAAAAGAGCATCATCACTTATTTTGTATTTGACATTGATTACATACGTCTCAATGAGAGTATTTTTATACAGTCTGTATCTGTAGGAGGCTTTGCACATGCTTTCTTTAAGCAATTTTTCATGTTTTTGGAAAACAATTTTTTATTTTTTTGAATCAGTATCTAACCTGGCTCAAAAATCAAAAGGCATACAGTGACATCTCCCTCCCATACCTGTCCTCCATCCCTCAGTTTCCACCTTCACCTCCCAATAGAGAACTGTGGTTAGTTTCTTGTGTGTCTTTGCAAGGATTTAAAAATGCATATTCAAGCTAATATGCATTTTTAAAACACCAATGTTAGCATTTCAACCACATTGTTCTACACTTTGCTTTTCCCCTTCACCATCCGAGAGCTTTCCACATCAGGCATGAAGAGCGCCCTCGTTCTTGTTGGCATCAGCATAGTTTTCCATTATATGGATGTATCATAACTTTTCAGCCTGTTCCCCAACGATGAAGTTTTAGGCTGTTTCCTGTGTTTTGTTATTTTGAGCAATGAATAATTGTTCTTTAAAACCACACCAATTAGCACAAATTCCCAATTTTACTTTAGATCAGGAAGTAAAGCCATAAAGTAATTATGAGACTTGTTTAAGGCTACAAACAGTGTCAGGGCACAAATCTGAACGAGCCACAGTCCAATCGATATTGATTACTTCCCTGCAGTGCCGGGAGAACAGCTGCAGGACCTGACGGAGGCTGGGCCCACTGGAGTTTATCATCAGTGCTGAGGAGGTGTCCAAGTCCTTTTATTTGAGGCCTGAGCCTGGCCATCATAGTGGGGTGCACGTTTCTTCTCCAGCCTGTCCAGCAATCTCCCTTCTCCCGGGGAACAGCTTTCCACTTTAATCGCACACTTCTAGAGGGACTACCAACTGGCCTGGTATTGAGGTAGCTATGTGCCCCTGCCCTAGCCTGATTGGTCCAGGGGTGGCATGTGACCCAAACTGGGCCAATCAGAATCTCCTCTGGAATTTTTCAGTGTGGAGCCTTGTCTCTTGGGTCACTACTGGAATACTGGCAGTTAAGAGGTGGTTGGGGGCCATGATCCCCACCAAAAGAGAAAGCCCATCTCCAGTAGGAGAAAATGAAGCCAACACACAGAAAGAAGCCGAAAGCTCAGAGAGAGAGAATATGAAAGACAGCAAGCAGATGAATTTGTTTAAGACCTTGAATCTAAATCTGCCAGAAACCAGATAATTTCATTACATGGGCCCTTTGTTTGCTGATGCTAGTTTTAGCTTGGTCTCTGTCACTTACAACAAAAAGAATCCTAACACATGCAGTCAGGTTTACAGAGTCAGAAAGATCCTTAGGAACAATCTCGTCCTATCTCCTTATTCGATAAAACAGAAACAGAGCTTATCCCTTGTCTGAAGTCAGCAAGCAAGGAGCAGAATCAGGACCTGAACCCAGGTATCCTGATGTCCTGGCCACTCCTGGGTTCCCTCAGTTTCCTGTCCAGCCCTGATGCCAGAGCTGCTGTGTGTTGGGAGCCAATGAGCTGCCCTACCATCTCCATATTCACAGACAAGCCCCCTCAACTCTGCAGACAAGCAGAAACGCCTCTGGAAAAGGCCTCATGTCATTGCTGGGGGAAGGGTGCACAGCCCCCTGGGCCACATGCTCTCTGCTTCCTGCAGGTCTGGAATGCTCCCTAGAGGCTGTCCCTGGGCCACAACCAGCCTCCCCTCCGTAAAGCCTCCATAGCTAGGTGAGGCCCCAGCCACACCTTCACAGTGAGAGGCCCTGACCCCTCATGCCCTGCACACTTACCCTTCCCAATGCCTTCTCCCAGCTCTCTTGCAGCCCTCTGAGGACTCCTCAACACACGTCACTGTATCTTACAGCTACAGAGGGCCTTAGGCATCACCTAGGTCACTTTATAGTTGAGGAAACTAAGGCTTGGTAGGGAAGTGGCTTGGCCATAGTCCCACAGTTTATAAGGTGTAGCTTGGGCAAACATTTTTCGGCACCTGCTATGCCCACAGCATTATGCTGGGCGCTGGGGACACAGATGAAAAAGGCATGGGAAAATGATGAGAGAGGTAGGAGAGTAACACAAGTCCACAAAAAATGGACTCAGCGCAGAGAGTGATGGGCGCTGCAGGAATACAAGCCAGCTCGGGACTGCTGTGGGTGTGCACAGGAGGGAGCGTTTATGTGCACTGGCTGTTCATGGAGGAGGCAGCCCAGGAGCTGGAAAGCCGGGAGTGTAACGGGCAGAGAGGGACAGGGCACTGGGCCCAGGAGAGCACGGTGAGGGAAAGTTGGGAATCTGCCGCGATTTACCAGGAAAAGCCTGGTCTTGAGTCAGGCATATGTAGGGGAAGATGGAGGCAGACCTCACAGAGGATCGGAAATCCCAGGTAGGACTGGACTCTGTGGGGGGGGCCCACTGAAGGGCTCTCAGCAGGGGAGACACGGGCAGAGGCACCCTTAGGGGAGGGTGATGGGCAGCAGACAGGAAAGAGGTCAGAGAAGGGGAGAGGGCAACTGCTATGTAGCAAATGCCTTCCCTGTGCCGGCACGAGGCTGGACTCATGTGGTCAGTCCCTCGGGTGATCTTTGCCAACGAGGAAACTGAAGCTCAGATCCCACTGGGAAGCCAAGAGCCAAGATGGAACCAGCTCTGTCCAACACAAAAAAGGGAACTGAGGCTCACTCTCCTCCCTATAGCTGCCCCCCAGGATGGGAATAGGATGGGTGGGGGAAGGGGTCCTGGGAGAAGAAGAACACCTGTCATCCTGGCATCCCTGGGGCCTGGCCCAAAGCAAATGCCAGGGACTCTTTCAGAAAAGAAGGCTGCTGAACCATGGGAGCTGGGAGAGGCCGAGCCACAAGTCGGCAGGGTCCCAGAGGAACGGTGAGTTCACTCCTGAGGGTAGAGCAGGTGTGAGCTGTGAAGGCAGGGCGCCCCGTCCCGGGGGAATCAGGCAGGGACTGTCTCATGAGAAGCAGTTTCCAGCATCAGATGGGCCAGGGGGCCTTTTCAGGGCCTTTTGGGCCTGACAGTCTTGATCACTAGGGTGATTCAACAAGATCAAGGAGGAAAGTTTCACCCCGGCCCAGGACCACCAGGCACCTCGCCCCCCGCTGTCACTCACTCTGGAAGAAACCACTTACTCGGCAACCATGGGGCTGGGGATACCTTCTCCTCTACTCCCCTTCCAGCTCTGCCTCCTCCTACGGGAATGCCTGTCAGAGCCTTGATTCCCACACCTTTGAAAGACATACAGCCAACTCCAGGTCCAGCTCAGACCCCTACAGGCCGACAGACTTGTTCTTTTTTTTTGTGAGGAAGATCAGCCCTGAGCTAACATCCATGCCAATCCTCCTCCTTTTGCTGAGGAAGACTGTCTGTGCCCATCCTCCTCCACTTTATATGGAACGCGGCCACAGCACGGCCGGACAAGCGGCGTGTTGGTGCGCGCCCCGGATCTGAACCCAGGCCGCCAGCAGCGGAGCGCACGCACTTAACTGCTATGCCACGGGGCCGGCCCCTGGACAGGCTTGTTCTTAAAGACGTTTTGTTTCACTCCTCCCACATGTCTCTATCCCAGCCAACACCCACAAACATAATCACCTGAAGTGCCCGTGACCACATCGTGCCCTGAGACACGCATGACAGCCCAACAGCTTGCTGTGGCTGACGAGGGCCTGTGCTCAAGCTGAAGGCCAGGCTGGGATTGCCCTTCCTTCCCTGCCAACCTGCTCCGGCGGCTGTGGGCGCCTGCCTGTGACCTGCGTCCCCTCCTCCACCAAAGCAGTGCTCGGCCGGGCAAGGTGGCTGCGGTGGTGACTGGGCTGTAGCTGCTGCAGGTTAAAGTGCACCAACGCCAGGACAGGAATTCTCTGAAAGGGAACTCCTGTCAGGCACCGAACATTTCATTTCTCTGTGAGCCAGTAACCAGGCCCAGGCCAGCTCCGCGTACGCTCTACAGACTCCACAAACACTGGCTGAGCTCCTTCAGGTGCCAGGCCCTTTGTTAGGTGTGGGCGACGTGGTAGTGCATAAGACAGACCCGGACCACCTGCATGGGCTTGGCTCTCTAGGGCGACAACAGACAAGTGAGCAGGACTCTCCTGCTAGGACGGTGTCGGGGAAGTACACACTCTGTAGGGGGCCAAGAGGAAACCCTGAGCCCCCAAGGATGCAGGTGACATCCCCCAAACCGAGGGAATCGCTGCCCTCCCCTCTGGACTTGGTGCAGGTTGCTCCCGGTGTTGTAGATGACGATGGTGACGGCAGCTGACATTTCCTGAGGGCCTACTCTGTGTCAAGCACTGCTCTCAGTGCTCCACGTGTACTTTGTCACTTAGCCTCAAAACAGCTCTATGAGGCAAGTCCTGTCACTCTCCCCAGTAACAGACTAGGAAATTGAGGCACAGGGAGGTTGAGTTAACTTGCTCAGGTCACACAGCTAGAAAGTAGAGAGGCTGGATTTGAAATGTCGGCAGTCGGACTCCAGAACCTACATCTTTTACCACTTGTAACTGTGGCCTTCAGGCCAGGGGATGTGCTCAAATTAACAGCACCCCTGGAAGTCCAGTTGCACTAGGCGGCCTGAGTAGTTTTGGGAACAAAACCCAAAGTCCCACTGGTTGGGGATGATCTGGGCCAGCCAGGTCTTCCCTGTCTAGTCTTCTACCTTGGCTCCGATTCCTGAGACCATGTGGGGCTGGAAGAGCTTCTGGAGGAGTGACATGGTTGCTGTTCCACCCCAAACCGCCCAGGCTGACACACCAGCATGCCTCAGGGCGGTAGCTGCCCACCTCCACGTGAAGGGCTGGCTCCATGAGGAATCCAAAGATGGACCCAGAAGGGAACCAGCCCACAAAGGGCTGACAGGGCTAAAGGACAGATGGCGGGGACGTAAGTATCCAGGACCCACGGCAGAAAACGCTGGAGTCAGAGGGTGGAGGGCATTCACTCCCTGCCAGGCAGGTAGAGGCAGCATTTGAGCTGGGTGGAGTAGGGGCGGAGGAGAACCCAGGCAGGAGGTCCAATATGGACAAAAGTCCAGATGCACAGAGAGACCCATGGGAAGGGGCCAGAGGGAGGGTGCATAAGGAGAGGGGTGGGGAAAGGCCTGGAATAGTAGTCTGGGACTGAACTTGAACGTCAGAGGGGCCACAGAGGAACTCTCATGACCAGAGCTGTGCTTTACAAAAGTTAAACTAGTTCACAATGTGCAAGACATTCCAGAATGATGTCAAACACACCTGCTGAAGGGAGCAACGTTATAGACGCAGGCCCAAGGGTTAAAGGCTGGTATAATTTCCAATAAAATGAGTAAATTCCAAGTAAAATGAGCATGGATAATGAATAAACTGGGCCTCATTCTGGTTAAATCTGATGTTTCAGACTCCTAATGTCCTGTCACTGGGTCTGGGGCAGCTGGAACAATTCTCAGTCAGGTTGTGCCTCAATTTACCTATCCATAAAGAAGTCCTAAAGAGAGGCTAAAAAAAATCTTCGACTCTACAAAAACATGTATCTTTAGTATTCCTATGTTTACAAACACTATTCACTATGTACCAATAACACTAAACATTGGTAGAATTATTTAAAGAAATGCAAAATAACTATTGGTTGACTTGTTTTCAATTTTGAAGAAAATTCACATTTGCCCACAATTTGATTCCAGATAGTCCCAGATTACATTTTTCTCAGGTCCTGACCCCTGTTCGCATGACTGTGGTATTGCATTATTCTTTCCTAGATGGTAAAATACCATCCCCACTCGGCAGGCCCTTTCGGATGCTGGAGACCAGTGGCAAAGGAGCGCAGTCGCTCCTACTGACCTGATTCACCATCCTGTGCTGCTGGACAGTTCTCTTCTCCTTAAATTCTTCTGACTCGATTTGGATTTCATACATTGCCCCACAGCCTCCTGAAATAAACACGATTCGGAAGTTTCAATGATTCAGTTACAGCAGCCACAGTCCCGAATGTCCTTGAAGTACCACACGATCCAAAGACAGTCTGAATATTATTATTCAACAGAAAGTTGCTAGATTGTTAGAAAAAGATCATGGCTTACAATTTGACCCTATCTGCCTCCAGCAGGCTGCCTACATCCAAAATGTGCTCTTCCTTTTGCAAGGCAGCTGCACTCCCAAGGATGATTACTTGTGGGGAAGGGGAGATAAGGCACGAAGCATGGAAAACCCAGGAGATGTAGGTTTCCCTTGTATTTCCTTTTATTAAGCCAACAAATGCCATGGAAGAGGGTGGGAGGGACTGAATTTCAGTGTCCCACCTTCCAAAGGACCAGCAATTGGTATTTTTAAAAGTGCAAAAATACACTAAAATTTGGGTTGAAACCCGTATGTAAATATCCAAAAGAAAAGGAACGAGGAAGTGTGAGAGAGACAGGGAGACAGCATTACAATAAACACTGCAGACATGCTGGTCATGGAGCTGCAGCGGCTCTCTCCAGCACCTCTTACTCTACAAGCAGCACTGAGCGGACCATCCTGGGCTTCCGCAGGGAGGGAACCGCTTTCTGGTGAAGCTCTCGAGGCAGAGCTTGTGTGGACCCATCCACTCCCTGCCCAAGCTTGGTCTCTGGCTGATGACTGATGATAAAACATGCTGCTCTAGCATGAAACAAGGTAGGCAAGAAAGAAAATGTTCCCTGTGCTGTTAACACTAGGCCACTGTATGAGAATTGCAATTTACACAATAGGCTTGGCTGTGCTTCTCTGATGTGCTCTAGGTGTCCAAGCTTTGGTTAAACCAGAGTTCCCGGCCTTGATTCCCTTTAGGCCCTCTGTCCAGCTCTGGGCAGAACAAGAATCAAGGTCAAGTTCCAGCTCTACCCTACCTGGGCCTGGGGCAGGAGCAGGACTGGTGTCATCAAGGCCTCAGCATTGCCCTGGGACCTTCGCAGAGCGCCCACTCAACCTATCATTCCAATGGATCTTTAGATCGATTAATTTTCTATAGTTTCCAGAACAAAAACTACTTTCTAAACTTTCTCCCAATCCTTGTAAATGTTATGTTCTCAGAAAAGCCAGTGAGCCATCGCAGCAATGCAGAGAGGCAAAGACTGCACCTGGGTGTGGGGAGATTCAGTTCAATGCCTATCTTGCTGCCCATGGCCAGCTGTTCCACGTGTGTCTGGATAAAGGCCCTCTCTTCCCTGTCCTGGGTGCCAAAGTTGATTCCTGCTCCTAACACACAGCCAGCCTGAACTTCTGAGGTGCCAGCGGCCATCTAAGAAAGGCAGGGCCTGGCTGGGGCTGGTGACTGGGCTCAGGACAGTCTGCCCTGGGTCCTGGTTCTGATTCTGGTTCTGCTGCCTCCTCCCTGTGAGGGGCGGGGCAGGTTCTTTGGCCAATTTGGGCTCATCTCCTTGTGGGAAAACCGAGGCAGTTACTTTCCTCAAAAGGACAAAGTCTCTGGGGGTTGGCTCCAGCTCTAACATCCCAGGGTGTCAGAAGAATGTGGGGAAGTTAAAGTAAGGCCTTTCTTAAAGTCAATTAAAGACTGTGGCCCTGAGCACTGAGGTGACTGAGAGGGACCTCATCCAAGTTGGGCCAGGCTGGTGATGAGTCCTTCCAGCTGGGCCTAGTCCCCACACACAGTTTCCCTCCAATGATTCGGCATCCCCACCTCCACCCCCTCAGGTGGGAGAGGCCGAGTTCCATCCGTCCAAAAGCCACACATGTTGAGAAGCCCCTGAAGGCAAGTTCCCTCAGCTAAGCCCCCCTGCCCTCTGCCCCTTAGAGGGCAAAATGCTCCCAAACTCCATGGGAAAGACGAGAGAAAACCTCACCTGAAATGTCGGTGACTTTGATCACAGTAGCTCGAGGAAATTTAGCTTTGAGAATTTGGGTCACTTTGAGCTCCCCCTCAGTCTGTGAGGCAAACATCCGCTGGGCACAGTGGAGAAGAGGAAGCTGCCACAGAACAGAGAAGAGTCATGGCAGAGCAAGATGATGTGCCCCCAGGCCAGGCTGGGCTACCGTGCACCCCCCAGCCATTCCCCTGCAAGGCAGCACCCCCGGCCCTCACCAGCTTGGCCATGGGCTAAGTCAGAGGGGCTGCATAGCGTCATGTCCATTTAAGCACCCCAGGATGCAGAATAAACTTTTTTGGGGAGGGGAGTGTAAATAACTTACTTTGCCTCTAGAGACAAGGCCCCAAACCTAATTCAATAGGTGTTTAACTCCCCATGATGATGCTGTGAGAGAGACACTATCATGATGACAGTTTTACAGGTGAGGAAACTTAGGCACTAAGTAATGTGCCCAAGGCTGGATCTGTTAGTAACAGAGCCAGGAGAGGTAGGGCAGTCTGCCTCAGACATGCCCTGCTAGGCCAGCGTGCCCCTGATCCAGCACTGGTGCAGCCAAATGCCACCCACCCTTTAGGCCTGCTTAACATTCCACACTCTCTCCAGTGGGATATGACCTTGTGACCTACTGCTCAATAAGCCAGCTACCCTTTGCAGCATGTACTAATTCTCACTGGGGAGAGGAAGCAGAATTCTGTTAAATGACCAGAAGGAGGAACATTTTTAGATTATTTACCCAGCCACAACACTCCCTCCTCCCCCAGTGGCTACCATAGGGAGCCAGTGCTTCTGAAGGGAATGTGTCTCAATCCTTAGGGGTGAAGGGGCAGAAAACCAGGTGGGCAACCCCCTGCCTGGGTTGAGCACATGCTGAAAAGGGAGAGTGAAAATAGAGCACGGCAGGCCTTGAACATCAGGCTAAAGATTTTGGACTTCATTAGACAAAGTAACCTGGTGCCAAAGTTATGTGCAGGAAACAGTGCCATTTGAAACTAGTCAGGAAAGATGCCCAGATAGGAGGCATTACAAAGGGAGCAGCACCAGGTGTGGGGCCTGGCTGGAGGGAGAGGGGAGAACACTAGAGCTGTTCATCGAGTGCTGGTGCTGAAGGTACCATCCCTTCGCCCTCAGTCCTGCCCATCCTCAGGCCTTTCTTGACGGCCCAAAACAGGGTCTTATGTTACAGAATCTCAGAGCACCTTCTTTAAAACGACTTGTACACTTGCTCTTTCACCAACCAGTCTCAAAGGCCAAGACTGAGTCTGTCCTGTTACTGCAGCCCTCCAGAGCTGAGCCCAAGGCAGGTGGATGGATGGATGAATGAATGAATGAGCAGGGGAAGAAATGATTCAGGGCATGCCTACTGGGCACCTGCAAAGACATCTCGATTCTGGCAGGCAGCTGAAATGCAGGTCAGGAGAAAGATCTGAACTTAGCCTGCCTGAGTACTGTGTAGAGGGACAGAAACTTGATGTTGTGGGCCTGGGTAAGACTCGGGGGTGGGGGTGGGGGTGGGGTGGAGCCTCTTCTGAGGACAGTGCTTTGGGGGACAAAGGCAGAGGGTAACCAGGAGGCAGGCAGAAGTGGTCATCACTAAAGGGTGAGGGTGGATAGCCCTGCAGATTCCTTGGGAGAAGCCTTCCTTTTATCTCAGCAGATCTGTGGGCAGCGGCCTTTAAACCAGCAATCTACTGACAAAATCCCCAGATACCCACCCTCCACGCTGAAAGTCACCAGTAGAACTGCTCAAGGGAGGCAGGTCCGAGACCAGCAGGAGAGAAGGAAGAATGTGAGAGGAAAGTAAAAGTGGATGAAGTGAGGCAAAGGATGAAACCAGAAAGAGGGAGAGAAAATTAGGAGAGCGCGTGGTGAGTGCCCTCTGCTGGGCTTCTACTCTGGGTGTGTGGGATTTGGGGAGGGTCAAGGTCATAGAGGCAGGGCGGACGTTTCCAGAGCCCTGACCCTTCCGCAGTCCTCGGCGTGGCACCCACGCCGTGACTCCGGGCTATGACTCCTATGGCTGCGGCTAAGAAAACCAACGTTGCTTTTCCGTGCCCGCTGTACTACGACTGTTCATGTGTCTGTTCCCCTCGCCCCAACCTCCACCCGGCTCGGAAGCTCCCCACAGCGCGCGCCGGGGCCTGACATTTCTCCGAAAGCCGGTTGCCGGGGCCCACTGAATGGACGAATCAATGAATGAATGAAAGAAAGGAAGGGGAGGCCCCCAGGCCCCGCGCGGAGCCCTCGGGGAGCCGCTCTTCGAGCCCCGGCAGCAGCCGGCCCCGCGGCCCCTCCGCAGCTCCCGCCCCGGGAGACCAGCCCGGCCCCCGCCCGCTCTCACCCCGCGGATCCCGCGGAGCAGAGGCGCTGCCGCGGCCGGGCTCCACGCCGCCATGCCCGGCCGACGCGGCCCGCCGCCCCAGGTCGCCGTGTCGCCCGAAAGGCAAGGAGCCCAGGACCGAGAGTCGCAGCCGTGGGCGAGGCCGCCCCCTGCCGCCCGGAGGCCGCGAGCCGCCCGGCCCCGCCCAGCCCCGGCCCTGTCGGCGCCCGGGGCCGCGCCACCCCGGAGGCCGCCGCACCGTCAGCTCAGCGTCGCGTCCTCCGCGCTCGCTCGCGCCGCGCTGCTCCAGCCTTCCCCGGCCTCGTTCCACGAGCAGGTCCTTCCTCCTCAGCCTGAAACACATCAGAGCGTCTCTGCCCTCCATGCTGACTTTCCCTTATCCCGATGCCCCTCGTGCCCTAGGTGAAACTTCTCCATTCCCACTTCCCACCACTGGCAACCTCGTGGTTCCAAACTGAGGAGTGTGGGAGTTCTCCCTCCAGAAGGGGGCCGGGGAAGAATTTTAAGCAGGGAAGTCGTTTTCAGGTTTGCCTTTTAGAACGATCAGTCTGGCTCCTGCGGGGAGCAGGGACTGCTGAAATCGGAGCAGAGGACAGAAGTTCCGAGGCTACTGCAAAGGTCCTGGTGAGACTTGTGGCCTGACCTAGAGGCGCGACAGCAGGGACAGGAAGAGTGGAGTGAGACTCCTGGGAGGTGAATGGAACGAGGGACTCCCAAGTTTCTGGCTTGGACAGTGAAATGGGAGGGGGGAGGTTGGGCTGAAGCGGGCCGACAAACTCAGCTTTGGATTTGCCTGAATTTAAGGTACCTGCAGGCCACGGCCCAGCAGAGGCGTAGGCTGGAGCCACAGACCGAGGAACCCTGAGAATGCAGTGGAAGCTGACACCATGAGGGATGGGTAAGATTGTCAGCAAACCTGCCCTACCTCTGGGGAACTTCAGACAGATGTCAAGGCCAAAATCCAGCCAAACCCTTGCCCTCTCTTAGCTGTATTTGTTTGCAGCATGTGGTCTGGTATACCGGGCAGGACCTACCAGCTCTTTTTGCTACTGCATTCTGGCCTCTGCAATCAGTATTCAACCTTGCACTTGGATGGTAGGACAGACCTACAGTTGTTCTTTAAAGTGATCAGCTAAAAATGTGCTCATTCATTCCAATATTGACTCCTATGTTTGGCCCTCGTAATTTTTTCTTTGGATTAGTGTAACAGCCCCTCTCACATTTTTCGCCTGATTGCTTAAAAATTATGGTTGGTGTGATGAGGGATAATTTGCCAACTTTTAATTTCTCTTCACTGATGTAATTAACTGCCCAAAATATTTTTTCCAGCAGTGTAGTACTGACAGGCCCTTTGCTACTCAAACCACAGGGTTCAGATGAGGGAGACCATCCCCAGCTCTAGTAGTCACATGACCCAAGTCTCACCAATCAAAGGGATTGGCTTATGGTTGGGCACACGATCTCAGCCAGACCAGTGAGAGTGGTCCAGGGACTTTCTGGAACTAAGGAAAAGAAATGATCATTTGCAAATAGACTGCTAAAATGGTAGAAAGCCTACTGCTGGTGGCCATCTTTGCAATCATGTGGGCACCGCCACTTTATAAACGAAACAGCCACAGAAAGCAGGGCTGCGAGGGGATGGATGTTTGACAGTTGTGCAACTGGAAACAAGCAGCAACCAAATGAGCACTGAAGTCATTTTAGCTGGGTTTGTCACTTATAACTAAGAGACTTAAACTCACTGATTTGTATTTGCAGAATTCTTCCTTCCTTCCTTTTTTGAAAAATCAGTACTTTGCTTATCTCCTATTTTCCTCTTCCCTATAATTTAATGATTGCTCACATTATTGCTATTTTGGACTGTCACTCTGCCCTAGTATCCTCCCCTTACCCTCAGTTTCCACACTGCTGTCAGAGCCATCTGAAATGAAAACCTGTCCATTATTTGCTTATTTAAATTCCTTCAGACTCCCCATCACCTACAGGCAAAAACCCATCTTCTTTCATAGGATCTAACCCCTACCTACCTGTCCAACTGAAATCCACCCTTCACTGCTTGTACCTCCCCGTACAAACTATGCTGCAAGTATGGTTATGCAGTTACTCATATTTTAAGCCAGTTCAAGCCTTGTCTTCTCCAGGGAGCCACCTCTGACTGCCCCACAGTATACTAAGGGCCCACAGCTCGTGCATAACTTTTACGGGACGGATGGCCCTTTAGAACTTGCAATCTATGTACGTGTCTGTTTTTACCACTGGTCTGCAAGCTCCATGACAGGATCTAGCTTTAGTCATCTATGTCAACGGCCCAGCATGGCATGGGACAAAAAGTGCATGTACTGTGATTACTGAACAGAACTGACAGTGGTTTTGCAATTCTAGTTCCACAGTGTGACTCTGAAGCTTTTTAGAAAAGGATTTGCAGAACAATCTCACCAATCTTGGGCTTCCAAATTAGCTTCAATTTAACAGTTTGAGTATAATTTTTTTATGATAGAAACAAAGTAAAAACAGTTTTACTTTGTTATGATTAAAAGTGTAATGCCTTTAGTCCCAATCCCTTCGGCATTTTACTTCTTTGCTCTAACTTGACATTCTCTTACCTTCACTTTATTGGTCCTTGCTTACTCCCAGCTTTCACACTTATAATCTTTCCATCTGAGCTACTGCAGGAAACTCCTTAGGTAGGATCTCTTTGGATGCATTTCCTTTTTGACCTCATTGGGGTGATTTTTAATTGCAGTCACTTTATTTTCTAGAGCCTCCTAGCACTGTTGAGCACACAGAATTTTTACAAATACAACCCAGAGAAGCAGAGACTTAACTTTGCTATGAACGAGCTATCTGAAGTCTGAGGTTCTGTGACACTGTCTGGAAACCACTGAAAAATTCCTAACATACTTCTAAATTGCCACCCCCCTCCCCAAGTTGCTACAAGGATTAAACGGGACAACGTGCTAAAGCACTCTCCTAAAGAGTCCTTAGGTTCCTCTAAGGAAGTGATAGTCAAAGTGCTGGTCAGCCACAAAATAAGGAACTTGGCCAGAATCTGAATCAATAATCTACTTCCTTCACTTAGCAAATCTGCTACCAAAAAAAAAAAAAAAAAGGCAGCTGAGCTCAACAGAGTGCTTAGACACATTCTGGTGAAAAACCCTTATCTTTTCACAGAACAGGAAAAAAAGCTCACAGAGCAGCAGCCAGTCCAAGCTTTTGGACCATCCAGCATCTTTGAAACAATTTTGCTATGAGCTCTGAACCCCCAGGCAAAATCCAGACACTTTTCTCCAGCTTCTCTTTCAGCTAGGACAGAGGTATGTGACCTAGGATCTGCCAGTCAGAGGCACCCATGTGAGTTTTTGATTAGGAAGACACACAAAAGGAAGCAAGTGCTAGGTAAAACCCCTTATTTTGGTCAGGGCAGATGCATCTAGCTTTTGGGAGGAGCTGAGGTAGAGACCGACATCTAGTAGCAGCAAACAGTGCAGGCTGTAGCATCCACACCTAGCCGACAACACGGTATTTGCTAGAGAAGGCCCAAGGCATGGTTTGGACATTGTTTCTGGCTGTGCAGCTTCAAAGGCCAACTCTTTGCCTTCCCGAAGATTATTCGGGTTATTCTATTACTTATTTATAACGTTTGAAATAGCTTGCAAACTTAGCCATTAGACACCCTTACAAACTTAACATTTTTGCGATTGATTTTAAGCCTACTGAAATATAACTCAAAAAAATCCAAAACTGATTGCTAGCTTACTTGTGTCTTATGCAAAATATGAGGGTTAACCCATATTATTTAGCCACATTTCTAAGTTTTTAATTTTAACTCTATTCAAGAAAGGTCAAAACAATTCTAGCACAGCTATTTTGAATAGCCCTAAAATTAGGCATCTGTAATTTGCACCTCTAAAAAGAACTCTAATATTTCCCTTGCAATAATGAAAAATGGTTGGTTGAGGTGGGGGGTGTCTTACGCATATGCTGAGTACTCAATTTCAAGGTCAGAAAATTAATGAATCCAGTCTCTCCTCTTCCCTTTTCTCAATCTCACAATCAGAAACGTGCAAAAGAGGTCGAGAGCTTGGTTAGCATGGTAAGAAGGAGACTTTTTTGTCTGGGATGGGTTTTAGCGACTATCATCAGAGGAATAGTTTTTGTTCTTGGGGGTGGGGCCCTGATATTATAAGATATTTAGTTCACTTAGGAACTTCCCTTTCTTCTAAGAGTTAAGAAAATATTTTCGCTACTAAATGATAAGCAAAGATAATCTTCCACCGAACCTGCAAAAATCTCAAGTTTCACATTTAAATAAAAGTGTGTTGAGCACATACTTTGTAATAAATCATTACTTTCTTTCAATATATTTTATTCTGATGAAGTTACAAAAGTAGATACAAAATACTTTTTTTAAAGTACAGTTAACTGACTTAGAAAAATAGATAAAGCCCCTAAAGGTTTAAAAATACAACATAAATTTTCATGTAAAGAACATTTAAAAATATTTTAGATGGTAACCAAGACTAACTGATGCAAACTATTTTCAATGTAGACCAAACACAGAATGTTGTTCTATATAAATCCATAGCACACTGGTAATCCATTTGGATTTAGAGAATACTTTTTTGGAATAGAATCTGATGAGAGAAAACCCAAGTGGATTTCAATGCAGTTGCTTCAATAAAATTACTCCTATCACATGTAATATCATCCCCCAAAGCCTTTTACAATCTGAAACATCAAAATCTAATGCAAAAAAACACAGGAAGACTGAGGGACTACTATTTTCCCTCTTTGCCAAAATTCTATAATAGTAAAAACCAAATCCATTAACTAAACTGACATCAGGAGGAAATAATGTCCCTGTGGAAGGTGCTCAGTTTGGTGTCCCAGTGGCATTTTTCAGGCCAGAGTCCTACAGACAGGAGATGGCCTCCTATAACCAGACAGGAGTAACACCAGCACCATGACTGGAGCTGCTCAGGAACAAATTTCTAGGACTCATACTCCTGGGCCTGATTTGTTTATGCTTATGAGGTAATGATTTTGTTTAGAAGCGTCACTTCTAGTATAACCTCACTGCTCACAGAGAAGGCCACCAGTACAGTCAGGAAACCTCAACAACGTTTGCAGAAGTTAAAATCACCACCAGCATCGCTCCTCTTGCCTCTGCACTACTAGGAAAACTTTCCTTTTGTTGTTATCAAAGTCGTGATAATACAGATTTGCATTTCTTGAGTAGGCAGCGACATGAGCTAGGGCTCTACAAGTCTAAGATGAAAGGAAATACTTTTCTAGCTGGCAGCCCTCCAAAATCACTTTATTCACCATCTGGAGAAAAATAAAGGATATGTTTGGCTGTCAATACAAAAACTGTAGTACAAGGAAGTTTCAATATTTAAACAAAAATCTGCACATCGTTATCCCAAAGATTTTTTAAAGGCCTGGAAATTCAAGCACCATAGGATTAACTGCATAATTTAGCAAGCATTCTCCACCCCATGATTGCAATCAGGTGTGAGGAGCCGCAATCAGACACTGAGAGAAGATGACTTCTGATTCGGAGAGGAGTGTTGTGGAATAGGCAGACCCTGGGCCCAGGGAGACAAAAGTGAGAGGAGCCAAAGACTGATTGATTTCTTCCGACTCTTATCAAAGGCTAGCTCTCTAGCCAAGTCAGAAGGCGTCATACTCTCCCCTTCCGCCAACTCTCCTGCCCTCCCTGGCCTTGAATGTAAATAAATGTTAAGACTAATGTTTAGGTGCATTATGGGTTATGCCAGATTAGCTTAGGAATCTGGTAATGGTTTTATTTTTTTAAAAAAAGGCCATTCTGAGTCTCAAATTACCGACAAATTTTTTATTTATGTCCTATTAATAAGTTGCCTTTACTACTGTTCTAGCATGTCACCATCTTTGGTTAGTTATGGGGCTGAGTCATGAAGAGAGGGAGGATTTCTATCACTGAATATAAATGGAGAAAAGTGAGAATCCTTTTGTTTGACAATATTTGAAATATTATAAATGATGATGAAAGTACAACCTTAGTTGAGAAATATAATTTCATTGTTTGCAGACGTAATTAAAGCCAAGGTTTAAAGTCGAGAGGCAGTAACATTCTAGGTGGCATCTAGAAAACTGCTTTCTTGTTTGTAAATGATCAACATAAACATACAAAATGCCTGACAGGGACCTTTGGATAAGCTTAAAACACTGACCGTGGGATGTTTTGGAGAGGGGTTTTCTCTTTTTTACATAAGTGGATTATCCCACTTTTTAATTCCTGAAACAATGACATATGGTTTCAGCCTAAATTAGATGAAACGTTTTGTTTCCTTTAAAATTCTGGATATAGTTAAGAATTTATTGAAATTGAGTTATTACAAAAATGAAGTTTCTAAGCAATTCTTTATGATCTAGTGGAATAATGCAAATAAATTAAAAAAAACCTTATGAAATCTAACCTTTATCAAAGCTATCAAGGATGGTGAGTACTTTGCAAAAATCAGCTCTCAAACACAGAATGCTGATGAACTTCAAGCACTGCCAGTCTGGCAAGTCTTTAGTATACTTGTGCCTCAGTACATTTTAAACAGTTAGCTAGAGTTGACTAAATCCTAGAAACCTAATGACAATCAGATCTTTTCTTCACTAAAGGCGAAGATTCTTTTTATCCCAATAGAAATAGAATAATTTCAAGTTTTGATACAAAAACAATTAAAACAGGATAAAACCCATATGGGGCTCAATCCATCCTTTGACTATTAACAGAATGAAGTAAATTTTTTTTAACCTATTCTTCCTACTTTGTCTCCTTTAAACACAAATACACACACACACACTAAAGAACAGGTAGCACACTAAACTTTTAGCTGTGTTATAAAATGTGTACATCTTTAAGGTTTTTTATTGTTGTTTTCCTTAAGTTTTATCCTTATTGGGATAAAGTTTGTGCATTTCTACACTACTCTTAACTACGTATCAAGTCACAATAAAAACACATAGAAGTAATTTTTTTAAAGGAAACTCAAAACAAAATAATCAAGTACTCTGAGTACTTTCTTCCATTCTCTTATCCAAAATTTCAAGGCCTCTGAAAAACAATGTGAATGAAAATAGTGGTTCTGAGACCTAAATATGTCATAATTTTTTGGGACGTTTTCTTTCTCTCAGCCAAAAGCTACACAGTAAAATTAGTCTGAATGAAGCATTTCGAAATAAAAATCTACAAGACTATCCTTAGATGACTTAAAAATTATTTCTCATATACACATACTCCTAAAAATTTAGATAGGTTTATGTGAATAAAATTCCAAATAAAGATTAAAAAATAAAGTTATTTTAGAAATAACTTTGGTTACTCCCATACCACATATGTCATATGATGATTAAATTGCAATCATGGATTTTGAAAAAATATACATATATATTCTTATCTATAAAAACACTAGCACACAAACTTCAAACTAAAAGGTTATCCAAAGTGACACAAATGTTCTAAATCTTAAGGAAACTTAAATTTAAGTTAAACTTAAACTTGAAATACCTCTTCTTTTTGTAAAATAAAAGCAGAATAAAACTAATCTGATTGCATTACTGGGAAATTTGTTCTGGAAACTTGTTAATAAATTATTGGTGGAAATTCTTATTACCCATTTATGTTTTGTCACCTGAAACAGTCTCAATCATTTTCTTCAGTAAAAGAAATAATAAGTAAACGAATAAACTACTGGTTAGTCATCACATATTATAACCAAGTGTGACTCTGACAGTAACAGGAGTGGTCACATAGTGCCTCAGATTCGGCTATCCTGAATTTCTCACTCTGAAGGTATTAGGCCAATCTACCTTTGAGACAATTTTATCACTAGACACAGACAACGAGTGTCTTTTTATCCTGTTTTCTTAAAGTTTGCATCACTAGCCTATAACAGATAGCAATGAGATAGCTCTAGCAGTAGCAAGAGGGTAACTGTGTTCCAGAAGAAACATTTATCTGTCTTTCGATCCAAGCTTCTCAATTAACTCCTGAAGAGGTGCCAACTCACGCCTATCAATCAGATTAAACTCCTAAAAAGAGAAGAAAAATAAAATTTAAAAATAGATCTAAAATTAAAACTGTAAATATCATTCAGAGAAGGGATTCCCAACCATAGTTTTCTGAAATCCAAAAGAATGATGAAATAAGCTCTGTGAACATTTTAAAATGGGATAATTTTTACTCCATTTTTAAAATATAGGGGGACTTACTAACTAATCAACTATACATATTGCAATGATCTTCACTGTATAAAATATTAAAATCCAAATTATATATACATTTGCATTTACAGAGACATTATCTGAAAACTATACATTGAACCTTTGATAGTGGCGACCCTTGGGGCAGTGGATCTTTTACTTTCATATATCTATATCTACATTAATATCTATATCTATGCCATACACCAATCACAGAAGGAAGATAGAGAAGAGCACAGTACATTCTCCTTTGTGTGGTACACAGAACTGTAATACACAATACCCACTATAAAGCTACCATTTTTTCCCACAAAAAATAATATCTAGATAGACATTTAAATTTTGCATATAGAATTAGGTATCTCTAAATTTAGGCTAAAGGAGTCCCAATTTTTTGATATCTTTTCCAAACAATGTGAATCATTTTGATTTAAAAAAATTCCAATTCTAACTAAGGGCCCATAAGGCAATAGGCCACATCTCTGAAGGGGATGTTTCCAGCTACTGACTTCATTGGCCCAAAGTGGGACTTCTGAAAACTTAACCCAAGATAGCAGCTAACAAGTTCTTCCCCAAACTTCTCTCCCAGGCATAGATATCTCATAACACTATCCAACTGCAGGTGTTTTTCCAGAGCATCCCTTCACCCAGCAGTGGCAATGGGTATGGACAAACTTTCTTGGGTTTTTGGTGTCCTTGTCACAACCTAACTAGACACCTGAGGCAGCCAGAGGCAAAAGGCCCCAAATGGGGTGATGCTTTCTAAGAGGCTATGCATACCAATGAAATAAACAACATGGAAAAGAGAACATAAGCGAGAACCCTGTTTATACTTAGCTCTACATCTATAAATAAGACATTGCTCTTATTCAAGTTACCAATCCAAATAAGTCCAAGTCAAAGTACACAGAAGTCAACACGGCTCAACCTACCTGAACAAAGAAAATAAAGTGCTTAAAGGAGGTGTTGAGGTGGGCCTCCTCCTGCAGCTGCATCACAGAATCAAAGTGCTGGTGATAAATATGGGCATAAACCCTGAACAGACGCTTTAGAATGGTCTTTGCCACAGACATAAAATTTTTGGGAAATGGGACACCTGTAATCAAATATACATATATATCGATTAGTCTTTTATCTAATTCAATATCAGAAAGTTCAGATACTGCCATGAGCAACTCCAACACACAAACATACACATTCACAAATACAAGCCTATTTCCATGTATTTAAAAAAGCCAAGGAAAAAAATCCCAAACCTAAGTATATGAAGTATCCTCACATACCACACTTTTTCTGACCGCCTTAGAATAGGAGGCACAGGTTATCAAGTTATATAAGATGCTACTGAATCAAAGTTTGGTTTTTTTTTTTGCGAGGAAGATCAGCCCTGAGCTAACATCCATGCTAATCCTCCTCTTTTTGCTGAGGAAGACCGGCTCTGAGCTAACATCTATTGCCAATCCTCCCCCAGTAGATAGTTGTATGTCATAGTTGCACATCCTTCTAGCTGCTGTATGTGGGATGCGGCCTCAGCATGGCCGGAGAAGCAGTGCATCGGTGCGCGCCCGGGATCTGAACCCAGGCCACCAGCAGCGGAGCGCGCGCGCTTAACCGCTGAGCCATGGGGCCAGCCCTGAATCAAAGTTAAAATAAACATAATGTTAGTTGTTTCATATTTCTTCCTAAGATTAAATGCAACAAGAGTATTTTGACTATAAATAGGAAATTTTTATTTATTTATTTTTTTGCTGGGAAAGATCTGCCCTGAGCTAACATCTGTTGCCTGTCTTCCTCCCCACGCCATTCCACCCAAAGCCCCACTGCATAGTTGTATATTCTAGTTGTAAGTCCTACTAATTCTTCTGTGTGAGCCACTGCCACAGCATGGCTACTGACAGACGAGTGGTGTGGTTCTGCGACTGGGAATGGAACCCAGGCTGCCAAAGCAGTGAGAGTGCCAAACTTTAACCACCAGGCCAACAAGGCTGGCTTGAAAATTTTTAATTTTTGTAATTTGTAACTCAAAAAAAGTTTTACACACACACACACACACACACACACACTCAATCAGGACTGGAAACTATCCTAAGCAAAAGAAAAAGAAAGGCACTTTTAGTCACTATAATCTGCTGTCTACAAATAAAAAGTATTTTGCCTTCTTAATTACTCTGAAAAGCCAATTTTCTTTCTAAACTAGGAGTCCCCAACTTTTTACTTTATTTTTTTAAAGTGCTATTTCCGTTTTCCTATAGTCTAAGAAGGGGATATACTTCCTGAAAAAGAGAAGAAGGGTATCTCCCTATTTTTCAAAGAAAATCAATACCTCCTTAGAGAAGAACTGGGAGAGGGGTTGGTAATCTCTCTCCAAGCAGTGCAGGTAGGGATGCAAGTGGTTACACTCCTGAAAATTTTGGTTGACAAGATCAAAGTCTTTTCAGGGACAGGAGAAAGATAATACAATTGGCACTGAATATAGTAAACAAACACGTAAGAAGGCATCTGCTTCCAAAATAACCTGGATTAGTTGGCCTTAAAGGTCTGTTCCACAACTCTACTCTTGAAACATTTTCTTTTCTTCAATCTTTCAAGAAATAAAGGCTAAAACACTTTCTCCTTCCCTGCACTTTGTTTTCTTTAGTTTATTTCTCAACCAGTCCTTAATAGCTTGAAATTTAGTATATTTTGTTCTTGTAAACTGATTTTTGTGGGTTTTATTCCCCAGTCTTGATTAACAACTTGCCTTTTCAAATATTATTCTGGAGCTTATGGGCATGTTTTTTGAACAGGGTCTTTTATTCATGTATTAAAAAGATGAATTTTTAAGTCAAACTCCTTTACTCTCAGAATTTACAAATGGGCATCTTGCTAATAAAAGGAACAGTAATAACTTGGATATATTAGTTAAAAATGAATAATAAACAGCTTTGTCTAATAAGAATAAATAAATGTCATAAGTAAGATGTGGATAGTAGCCTAATGAGGGGGGGAAAGGATTCCACAGAACATTAGGATGAATTATTGAAGAATGGGAAACTGAGAAAAGAGAATAAAGTCAAAAGTATTCTTTATCTTCCATAAGAAGGAGACGTTAATGAATAAAGAAATATAAGTAATTTGTATTAGTCTAAGCACTTTCCAAGCTGAATTTAACAGAAACATTCAAGCACAATCAATATACAATAAAGAATCTATGAGAAATAAAGGGTTTAATAACAGAATGGAAAAGCTGACCAACAGCAATCAGACCAAGTGTAACAACACAATGTACACTTTTCTCCTGAAAGAGCCTCTGATTAGACTGCAGAAAGGAATCTGCTATGTTCTGAATGTTTGTGTCCCCCCTAAAATTCATACGTTGAAATCCTAACCCCCTAGGTGATGGTTTTAGGAGGTGAGACCTTTTGGAGGTGATTAGGTCACAACCAGAGCCCTCATGAATGGGATTCGTACCCTTATAAAAGAGGCGCCAGAGAGCTTGCTGGCCCCTTCCACCATGTTAAGACTAGGCGAGAAGTTGGCAGTCTGCAACTCGAAGTGAGCCTTCACCAGAACCTGACCATGCTGGCGCCCTGATCTTGGACTTACAGCCTTTACAACTGTGAGAAATAAATTTCTGTTGTTTATAGGCCATCCAGTCTTTGGTACTTTTGTTATAACAGCTCGAACAGATAAGACAGAATACAACAATATGTTGTCTATAAGACACCCTTAAACTGAAAATGACAAGGACCAATCTCATCCATGCATACCAATGCCAAAATCTTAATCAGAATATTAGCAAATAAAAAATACTCTTCCAGCAGAACATTAAAAAAAAAATAATGGAGAAAACCTTATGTTGATCAGCAACAGATACTGCAAAAGTATCTGATAAAACTCTACAACCATAGCTGATTTAAAAAACTCATACACCTCTAACCAAAAGCAAGATTCCTTCTTAATGCTGAAATACTAGAAGCACTCACATAAAAGTAAGGAAACGAGAAAAGAATGTCTGCCATCATCACCATTACTCAGTACTGTTCTGGAAGTACTAGTTGATCCAATTAGATATAAGTTACACAAGAAGTACACATATCAGAAAGGAAGAGGCAAAATTACTATTATCTTAATATGATGTGGCTGTATACTTAAAAAACTGAAGAAAACCAACCCAAAACATCAGAAACAATCAGAATCTAATGGTCAATTTACATAAAATTTTACATAAAACGTATACAAAAATCAACAGCTTTCCTATATACTAAACAATAACCAGTTGGAAACCAGGAATCAATAAAAAACATTAAATGCCTAGGAATAAACTTAAGAAACTTGAAAGATTAGCATAAAGTAAACTATAGAATTTCACAAAAGGAAATAAGAAATAAATAAAAGATATGGATAAATGAAGAAATATACCTTGTTCTTGGATAGGAAGAGTCAGTAATGTCAAGAGAACAAGAATCCTGTATTAATCTATCAATTGAATGAAATCGTAATCAAAATCTCACAAAAGTTTTTTTTTTTTTTTTTTTACCTTGACAAAATGATTCTAAGTTCTCTGGAAGAACAAATATCCCAGAATAGCCATGAATATTCTGAAAAAGAAAAGCAAGGAAGAGAGACTAGCCCTACAAGATGCTCAAAGATATATGGCCATGGTAATTAAAACAGTGTGGAATTTCTATAGGAAAGATAAAGAGATTAAAAGACTCCAAAATATGTGGCAATTTGGTGTACACATATGATAATCAGGGGAGAAGAGACACAAGTATTTGATAAATGGTATTAGGCAAACTGACCAGCATTTATAATTTGAAAAAACTGAAGGAGGCATTGAGAAAAAAATTCCCCCGACAGAACAAACATTTAAATGTAAAAACAGGGGCCGCTCTGTGGCTTGGCGGTTAAGTGCGCGCGCTCCGCTACTGGGGGCCCGGGTTCGGATCCCGGGCGCGCACTGACGCACCGCTTCTCGGGCCATGCTGAGGCTGTGTCCCACATACAGCAACTAGAAGGATGTGCAACTACGACATACAGCTATCTACTGGGGCTTTGGGGGAAAAATAAATAAATAAAATTATAAAAATAAATAAATAAATAAAATAAATGTAAAAACAAAACCACAAAACTACTAAATGAAAACATGGACAAATATTTTAATAATCTTGAAGAACGGCAAACTTTTCTAATCATTGTATTAAAATCCAGACATTATAAAGGAAAAGATTAATAGAGCAAAATAAGAAAGTTATATATAGTAAAAACACCTTATGAACAAAATAAGACAAAAGGCAATCTGAGGAAAACTACAAAATAAGACAAAAGGCAATCTGAGGAAAACTACATACAACACCTATGACAAAGAGCTAATATACTTAACATACAAAGAAATGGAAAAAGGATATAAACAGAAAACACACAATGATCAATAAACCAAAAAGTGAAAGATAAAAAAATAAGCAAAAACCAGTATTGATGAAGAAACACAGGCAGACACAAACCTGGCTAGAGGGAGTATACATTTACAATCTTTTTGGAGAGGAATTTGGCAGTCTCTATTACATTTTTTTCAAGTAATGGAACATTAAAAAGAACACATGTATCATTTAAAAAGAAAAATAGTTCTACAACATTAACTCACCAATCTTAGAAGGAAAAAGAGTTTCATCATCAAGTTGATCCTGAACCCAAGTCATCAAATAGTCAATGTATTTTGGTGCAGAACATTTGATTGGCTTTTTAATATTAGTACCATCTGCCCAATGATATTCATATCTGGAGAGAAAAAGGTTTACTGATAAAATTTTCAAAAACATTAACAAATGTGCAACTTGTAATCAAAGTAGGTTCACAGTTTGTCAAGAGACGTTATATATAACTTCAGTAAATTACCGAACTTTCTACTTAAGATTACTGAGAGTTCCCTATAGAATCATTCTGAAATGTGATGGTTATAATTGGAAGAGAAAAGGAAGATAATGTGGCAGCTGGCAATGCCAGAATTTATGTTTTATAACACAGCCCTGGGAAAGATAAAGGAACTGCATTCATGTCTGTTAGGCAGAGAGTGCTGAGGACTGGGTAAGGGGCTGATAGATCCATCACCTTCTGAGATCCTTGGCCATCAAGTTATCACCAATAGGCCAAGACTATAAAACCCTGTTTTCTGGAGAGAGTGTTAAAGAAACATCCCTAGCCACGCATCTTTTTCCCCCTTACCTTTGCTGAGCTAGAATGATTAACAAGACTTATACAAAACTTCAGTGGGTAAAGCATTTAAGCCATAGATAAGTTTAATTTTCCTATTTATTTTATTTGAATTTCTTTTAAGGAAATTTGAGGAATAAAACTTAACACAACACAAAATAAAAATATCTCTCCTAAAATAATGTAATAAAAATAGGACTACAAACTCACTGGGGACTCTTTTTTCCTTTATACTTGTAGCAAATTCAGAAAGGAAAATTTTTTCCAAGAGGTAAATATCTTGATACCATCAATCATCACATAAAATCAGTCATTTATTACAGGAAAAAGGAATGGAAGGAGACACTAAAACATTAATCCCATCACGCTGTGACTGAACATTATGGGTGATAAAGAGTTCCATCTTTCTCAATATTTCTTGAAATTTATTATAGCCAAATTTTTTAAATCTAGCATCTTTAAACTAGATAACTAAAGCAGCACAACTTGGAAATAATTACCACTAAATAAGCGCAAGAAAAGATAATCAAATATTAAAAGTCAACTAAAAATTCTTCCAAGAAATTCATCTAAAAACCAGAAACAGAATTGTTAAGTGTTAATAAAATTGAAAAAATAACTTTTGCAACGTAAGATAAACCTAACTCAAATTTCTTTACTTTTGCTCCTATAACTGAATTCATACTTACCATAATGCAATTATAAAATCAAAACACTAAGTACTACATATAAAAGTATTTAATAATAACTTAAAGCTTATAGGTAAGTATTCAAGAACTCACAAAATTAAACTGTTTTTACACAAGCAGATAAGAAAAATAAAATGTCTTTATTATTTAATTTATATCAATTAGTGACTAGCTTTATTTAGTAATTCAAATACCTATATAATAGGCAGTATATGTACCTTGGACCTGCAGACATGACTGGACAGCTTGCTTCAGTGCAGAATTCTGTAATAGTTCCATATAACATGTTGATCTGGTTGAAGAAATCCACAGCTGGAAAGATAATCGCAGAACTGTGTTAAAATATCTGTGTAAACACAACAAAACATCAGACCTCTCAGTTGAAGGAAAAATGGACAATGCATTCAAGTTCTTGGCTGAATCCTCGGGAGATTCAACAATCCAGGGGTACTATAAATTCTCTTCTTTTTTTAAGTTGTCACACCTAAGTAAAGTTAACTTTTTATATATATTCACTTTTAATATACTAAGCTTGTAACCAGCATTTAACAGCAACAAAATAAAGCAGAGATAATTCTAACTTAATGGTTAACTATCATGTCATTAGATATACAATTTGATTATATCCAAGGGAATGAAAAAATCCATAGCTTCTTATCGATCTGGACCAGACAATACCATTTGTGTTAGGAAAGAAAGAAAAGTGTTGTGAAATATACAGTGAGGGAGAAGTGTATCAGGCATTTAAAAAATCTAATTCATCATAAAAAATTGAGGCCTAATGCAAATTGAGGATATAAAAAAGACATAGGACAATGTCCCTTGTCCTGGAGTCTCCAGCTAACAGAAGGGACAAAATTAAAAGAGATGAATAACACAACATATAAGATAGTGCCCAAAGGCCAAGAATAAGTGCTAGAGAGTTCAGAGAAAAAGCAGTATCTCGAGGAGCTGAGGGAGTGAGGAGAACTTCCTAAAGGAGCTTCAGCTAGATCTGGAAGAAGATAGAAGAGGAAGGGCTAAGTAATGAACTTAACGGAGTGAAACATGTTACCCTGTGCAAAGAGAACCACATAAGCCTTGGAAAGTTTTTAAAATGTTTTAGTTCCCTATCTAAAGGAGTACCTAAAAATCAATGAGGGCTTTTCCAAGTTTCTTAAAAAACAAGTAGATAAAAAAGTTTTATCTTGTCAAAAGGAATTTTATACAAAACTTCCTCACTTATAAACCTTCCTCTTGATTAGTCATGCTTTTAGGAAAGTAATACTTAGGCACTCAATATTCATTCAAAATAAAGAGTATGTCCAGATGGTGTGCTGGTGTATTGGTCTAAAGCAGCTGTTCTCAAAATGTGATCCAGGGATCCCCTGTTTCAGGAGGGATCTGTGAGGCTAGAACCATTTTAATTGCTCTTTTCACTCTCATTCCCTCAGGAGGCACAGGGGAGCAGTCTAGAAGCTCCATGATGTTGACATCACAACAGACTGAATGCAGAAGCAGATACGAGAATCCAGCTGTCTCCTATTAAGCCAGACATTAAATAAGATTTGCAAACATGTAAAACAATGCCATACTTTTCCCTAAAATTTATTTGGAAAATGACTGTTTTTCATAAAAATATATTTATGTTAACATGCAACGGGTTTATTATTTTTATTTTTGGATGAACTTAAAAATAAGTATATTTAGGAGCCAGCCCAGTGGCGCAGTGGTTAAGTTCTTGCGCTCCACTTCAGCGGCCAGGGGTTCACAGGTTCGGATCCTGGGTGCAGACCTACGCATCACTGATCAAGCCATGCTGTGGCAGGCATCCCACATACAAAGTAGAGGAAAATGAGCATGGATGTTAGCCCAGGGTCAATCTTCCTCAGCAAAAAGAGGAGGACTGGCAACAGATGTTAGCTCTGGGCTAATCTTCCTTGCCAAAAAAAAAAAAAAAAAAAAAAAAGGTAAAATTTCTCGGTTTTAATTTCTAACACAGTACCTATCACTAGATATAACCTACGTAATTAAAAGCTCTTTGCAGTTTTCAATAATTTTTAAGAAAATAAAGGGATCCTGAGACCAAGGGGTTTGAGAACAGCTGCTCTAGAGCAGTAAGTCTCAAAGAAAAATCTAAGGCTGAAGAAGGCCAACAAGTGCCTTCAGAATAAAAGATGATAATTTGAATAAGGCTAAAAAAGTCTTTTCTGAATACATAATACTTCACATGGTTCAACCCCACCCCTACACACAGATAACCACTATATTATTAATTTTTTCTGTATCCTGCCCCCTAAGTTTCTTTATCCTATCTTACATAAAAGATAACATATTACATAGTTCTGCACCTTGTTTTTTTCTTAGTAATATGAATAATGGCTTTTTAATGAGTTGAGAAAAACAAAATTTTCCTTAATGTGCTACCGAAAAATTTTAAATTACATTTGTAGCTCACATAATATTTCTATTGGACAGTGCTGATCACGGCAATGATTATCAATAATTGATTAACACCACATAAAAAGACAACTAGAGGGCCGGCCCCGTGGCTTGGTGGTTAAGTGCGCGCGCTCTGATGGTGGTGGCCCGGGTTCGGATCCCGGGCGTGCACCGAGGCACCACTTCTCCGTCCATCCTGAGGCCGAGTCCCACATACAGCAACTAGAAGGATGTGCAGCTATGACATACAACTATCTACTGGGGCTTTGGGGGGAAAAAATAAATAAATAAAATCTTTAAAAAAAAAAAAAAAGACAACTAGACACTATGGAAGTATCTACATTGTTGGAGTATATACCACCACCTATGCAGCAGTCTTGCAAACAAACAAAAATCAAACTTGAATTTGATCAAAGCTCCAAATCTGTGCTAACATGGTAGCCACTAGCCACATATGGCCACTTACATTAAAATGAAATTAAATTTAAAATTCAGTTCCACAGTCACACTAGCCACATTTCAAGTGCTGAAAGCCACAGTGCAGATATAGAACGTTTGCATCATCACAGAAAGTTCTATTGGACAGTGCTGCTCTAGATCTAACATTTACAGGAAATAAAATGAGGAACAGAACACGATAACGGATGCCTTGGGCATATGATCAGCAGAATTCATACTGTGGAAAACAAATGAACTGGTTTCAACAACAAACAAAATAGCAAGGAAAAAAGGGTGCAATGAGGGGAAATCTGTGAATTAATAGATTCAAAATACATATGTATAGGCCTTGTTGGATCCTGATTTACACCAACCACACATTTTTTAAAAAAGAAACATTTATAGGACAATCAGGGGAAATGTGAACACTGACTGGATATTTGATAATGTGAAGGAATGACGGTCTTGTCACTATCTTTAAAAAGGGGCAGTTCTTGTCTTTTAGAGATACTGAAATATTTATAGATGAAATAATGTCTGGAATTTGCTTCAAAATAATCAGAGTGGGATACAGAAGCAGCACAATTGGCAATGAATTGATAATTGCTGAAGCTAGAAAATGTTACCTGGCAATTCACTGTACTAGTTTCTCTACTTTTTTTATGTTTGAACATTTCCATTAAAAAGTTTAAAAAATTCCTGGAATATCTGAAATTCCTAACAGATTTAAACCTCACCACCCAGAACTGGTCTCATCTCAGAAATGATAGACCAATATTCAAATCTCTAACCTCAGCATACCCTTCTATGTCATGCCCTCACTTTCTTAAACTCAGAATGACTTTCAGCTCATCAGTCAAGTGCGTTTTGACTACTACCTAAAAGTCACAACAATCAAGTGACTGACAATATAAACTCCAACTGACTTTCCTGTATACATAGGCAGATGAGAACTCTGGGAGTGGGCGGACAACTGTACAGATGGATTCCCTACAAAGTCATGGTCCACCACAGGTAGAATCTTTGTATTTATCGATCTTTTATTTGACCTTACTCAGCTCTGTTCTCCTCAGAAATTACCCCAAAGCACTCATCATTTCTCCTCAAGTCTCTCTACTCAAACACAAAAGCCACAACCACGTACTCTGAAGAGAACAACATAGTTTTGGATGTATTTGTACTTATGTGTTTCTTTACAGATACTCCGTTATACTACTTACAACAGTTAATTTATAAAATAAAATTCATTAACAAAAAAATTTTAGCAAAGTCTTCCTGTAAACCAGCAAAGTTGAATGTTATTAAAAACTTACTGTTAACGGCAATCCATTCATTGAGGTCCTCTCCCTCTGGTAACATAACAGCTTGTCTCAGATTCCCACTTCCTAGAGTTGCTTCTGCATGTTTTAAGAGTTCATACTGATGAGACCCTTCAGGGATATTCTTCTTTGGTTTGAATGTTTTAGAAGACCGGCTGCTGCTGTTAGGTTAAAAGTAAATCAATTTTTAGGACTGCAAGTAGAACAGCATAATTTTAGGCACATAAATTGCTCTGTAAAAAAAATTTAAAAATACTCCCTGAAAAGCGCCAGGATCGGGGGGGTGGGGAATGATCACAATAAAAGAATACTTTAAATTTTTTTCCTCCCATAAAAACAGGATTAGCAACACAATTTCACATGGAAGGCAATTTTACTATGCCTCATGAAGCAGTCTGGTGTAATAGAAAGGGCACTTTAAGGAAAAAAAGAAGAAACCTGGATTCTAATCCTTGATCTGCCACTGTCTCTCTGTGACTGCCTGAGAAACCTAAACTCCTTTTGGTCTCAATTTCCACCTACAGAAAATGGTGCTGGGAGGGAGGCAGCGCTAAGGTTCTCATAGTCCAAAAATCCAGTTTTCTGTATCAAAATCCTTGAGATGCCATCAAAGCAAACCACAGAAATCACACTAACATTTTAAAGTTTTTAGCAGGGAAAATAAATGAGACAGAAACAACTGGTTGTTGGGGGGAAAAATAACTTTTTATTCCTATCTGTAAGGAAGGTCTTCTTAACACTACAAAAAGCCCAGAAACCTTAAAAAAAAAAAAAGGACGGATTTCAAATCATAACAAAACTTTCATAACAGAGCAAAAAGACAAGTAACAAAAAAAGTACTTGCAACATATATTACAAAGGATTGACTAGATAATAAAAGGCTTCTATAATCTGTTAAGAAGAAGGTAAGGAACCCTCTAGAAAAATGGGCTTAGGCAATGAGGAGGCAATTCTGAAGGAAAAATACAATGACCAATGAACTTCTGAAAAGCTGTTCAATTAAAGTAAGACTCATTTTTCCTTAACCTGAGTGTCAAAAGTTAAAACAATTACATTAAGCATGGGTTAGGGTATAGAGGAAATTAGTACTTTAATATACTATTGGTGGGCCGGCTCCGTGGCTTGGCGGTTAAGTGCGCGCGCTCTGATGCTGGCGGCCCAGGTTCGGATCCCGGGCACGCCCCAAGGCACCACTTCTCCGTCCAACCCGAGGCCGAGTCCCACGTAGAGCATCTAGAAGGATGTGAACCTATGACATGCAACTATCTACTGGGGCTTTGGGGGGAAAAAAATGAATAAATAAAATCTTTAAAAAAAAAAAATATATATATACTATTGGTGAAAATGTAAAGTGTATAACATTTTGGGAGGGCAATATGGCAGTATCTATTAATGCTGAAATGCTCCTCAATCCATTCCTTCCATTTCTAGATACCTCTCCTAGACATGGATAAGGATGTATTTTCCAAGATTTTTATAGTGAAAAACCTGCAAACAATGCTAAAGCTTATTAATAGAGGAATGAATAAATAGACTATGATACATCAGCATCATGGAATAGTGCATAGTGGTTAAGAAGAACAAGATACAGCAATAGGTATTCACAGGGAAAGATCTCATGACATGGTTAAACACATTACAGAACAGAATGTAGAGCAGGAGCCCATTTTGTAAATGCACAGAAAGTGTCAGAAAGGATACACATCAAACTGATTAGTACTGGTGATTACTTCCAGGAGGAGGAAGAGCACAGAAGTGTGGACTTTCACTTTACCCAAGTAATCTGAATTTTAAATAAGACTGATTAAGAAGTAAAAAGGAATTACAAAAACACTAAAAATCAAATATGGAAAGTTTTTAACATGATAAAGAGCTACATTTAATGGGGAAGTACTAAATTAGAAGCAATGGCCCTTTACAAATAGAAAGAAGCTGTGAATGACAGAAGCTAAAATACGGAAAATTAACATGGAATGATGTCTCAAGATTCAATATGATCTTCATCTAAATTAAGACTTTTGTGCTTGAAATGGCACTATTAAGACAGTGAAAACAATCCACAAAATGGGAGAAAATATTTGCAAATCATAGATATGATAAGGGACTAGTATCCAGCATAAAGAATTCTTATAACTCAAAAACAAAACGACAAATAACCCAATTAAAAAATGGTCAAAGTTTACAAAAAACTATATGCCAACAAATTGGACAATCTAGAAGAAATGGATAAATTCTTAGCCTCATAAAACCTCCCAAAACTGAATCAAGAAGAAATAGAGAATCTGAATAGACCAATCACAAGTAAAGAGATTGAAACAGTAATCAAAAACCTCCCAAAAAGCAAAAGTCCAGGATCAGATGGCTTCTCTGGAGAATTTTACCAAACATTCAAAGAAGATTTAATACCTATCCTTCTCAAACTATTACAAAAAATAGAGGAAGATGGAACACTTCCTAACACATTCTATGAGGCCAACATCACTCTGATACCAAAGCCAGACAAGACTAGCACAAAGAAGGAAAATTACAGGCCAATATCGCTGATGAACATAGATGCAAAAATCCTCAACAAAATATTGGCAAACCAAATACAGCAATACATTAAAAAGATTATACACCATGATCAAGTGGGATTTATACCAGGGACACAGGGATGGTTCAACATCTGCAAATCAACCAATGTGATACACCACATTAACAAAATGATGAGTAAAAACCACATGATTATCTCAATAGATGCAGAGAAAGCATTTGACAAGATCCAACATCCATTTATGACAAAAACTCTCAATAAAATGGTTATAGAAGGAAAGTACCTCAACATGATAAAGGCTATATATGACAAACCCACAGCCAAAATCATACTCAACAGGGAAAAACTGAAAGCCATCCCTCTGAGAACAGGAACAAGACAAGGGTGCCCACTCTCGCCACTCTTATTCAACATAGTACTGGAAGTTCTGGCCAGAGCAATTAGGCAAGAAAAAGGAATAAAAGGAATCCAAATAGGGAAAGAAGTAGTGAAACTCTCACTGTTCGCAGATAACATGATTCTATATATAGAAAACCCTAAAGAATCCACTGAAAAACTATTAGAAATAATCAACAACTACAGCAAAGTTGCAGGGTACAAAATCAACTTACAAAAAAATCAGTTGCATTTCTATACTCTAATAACGACCTAACAGAAAGAGAACTCAAGAATACAATCCCACTTACAATCGCCAACAAAAAGAATAAAATATCTAGGAATAAATTTAACCAAGAAGGTGAAAGACCTATATAATGAAAACTATAAGACATTATTGAAAGAAATCGATGATAACATAAAGAAATGGTGAGATATCCCATGCACATGGATTAGAAAAATATAGTTAAAATGTCCATACTACCTAAAACAATCTACAGATTCAATGCAATCCCAATCAGAATCCCAATGACATTTTTACGGAAATAGAACAAAGAATCCTAAAATTCATATGGGGCAACAAAAGACCCCGAACAGCTAAAGCAATCCTGAGAAAAAAGAACAAAGCTGGAGGCACCACAATCCCTGACTTCAAAATATACTACAAAGCTATAATAATCAAAATAGCATGGTATTGGTACAAAAACGGACACACAGATCAATGGAACAGAATTGAAAGTCCAGAAATAAAACCACACATATACAGACAGTTAATCTTTGACAAAGGAGCTAAGAACATACAATGGAGAAAGGAAAGTCTCTTCAATAAATGGTGCTGGGAAAATCGGACAGCCACACACGAAAGTAGACCATTATCTTTCACCATACACAAAAATTAACTCAAAATGGATCAATGACTTGAATGTAAGATCTGAAACTATGAAACTCCTAGAAGAAAATATAGGTGGACACTCTTTGACGTTAGTCTTAGAAGGATCTTTTCGAATTCCATGTCTACTCTGATAAGAGAAACAAAAGAAAAAATAAACAAGTGGGACTTCATCAGACTAAAGAGCTTCTGCAAGGCAAAGGAAACCAGGATCAAAATGAAAAGACAACCCACCAACTGGGAGAAAATATTTGCAAATTATATATCTGACAAGGGGTTAATCTCCATAATATATAAAGAACTCACACAACTGAACAAAAAAACAAATAACCCGATCAAAAAAATGGGCCGAGGATATGAACAGACATTTTTCAAAGGAAGATATACAGATGGCCTATAGGCATACGAAAAGATGTTCAACATCACTAATCACCGGGGAAATGCAACTCCAAACTACACTAAGATATCACCTTACACACATCAGAATGGCTATAATCATCAAGACAAAAAAAAAACAAATGTTGGAGAGGATGTGGAGAAAAGTGAACCCTCATACACTGCTGGTGTGAATGCAAACTGGTGCAGCCACGATGGAAAACAGTATGGAGATTTCTCAAAAAATTAAAAATAGAAATACCTTATGATCCAGCTATCCCACTTCTGGGTATTTATCCAAAGAACTTGAAATCAACAATCCAAAGAGGCTTATGCACCCCTATGTTCATTGCAGCATTATTCACTATAGCCAAGAAGTGGAAGCAACCCAAGTGTCCAATAGCTGATTGGATAAAGAAGATGTGGTATATATATAAAATGGAATACTACTCAGCCGTAAAAATAGACAAAGTCGTCCCATTTGCAACAACATAGATGGACCTGGAGGGTATTATGTTAAATGAAATAAGCCAGACAGAGAAAGACAAACACTGTATGACTTCACTCATACATGGAATATAAACTAACATACGGACAGAGAGAACAGTCTGGTGGTTACCAGGGGGAAGCAGGTTGAGGGGTGGGCACAAGGGGTGAAGGGGCACATTTATATGGTGACTGACAAACAATAATGTACAACTGAAATCTCACAATGTTATAAACTATTATGACATCAATTTAAAAAATTTAAATAAAAAAAAATGGTCAAAGGATCAGAACAGACGTTACTCCAAAGAAGATATACAAATGGCCAATAAGCACTCGAAAAGATGCTCAACATCTTTAGGGAAGATGCAAAGTAGAGAAATGTCATTAGGGAAATGAAAAGTAAAATCATAATGAGATACCATTTCACACCCACTTAGGATGGCTATAATCAAAAAGGCAATTAACAAGTGCTCTGGAGGGGGTGGGAAAATTGAAACTCTCATACAGTGCTAATGGGAATGTAAAATGGTGCAGAGCTTTGAAAAAGCTTGGCAGTTCCTCAAAAGGTTAAACATAGTTACCATATAACTCAGCAATTCCACTCCTAGGTATATACCCAAGAGAAAGGAACACATACATGCACCCAAAAACCGTGTACACAAAAGTTCATAGCAGCATTATTCATAACAGCCAGAAAGTGGAAACTCAAAGGTCCATCAGCAAAATAAAGTTTGAAAGAAATAAACAGCCTCATATTTAGATCACAAAAGCAACTAAGCAACTGTGCATCGCCAAACAAACCACTAACTAAACCATAACTCATAAGAAAAGGACGGGGGGAAAGGGGGAAGATAGTGTTCTAGTAATATGGAAATTTGCAATTAAAATCTAAATCATACAGACTTTCTGACGTGGTAATCATACTTCGGAGACTACCTTTAAGAAAATAATCCAAAGGAGGGAAAAAGGGGTTTGGACAAAGATATTCTTAGGGGTAACAGCAAAATACCAGAAAGAATCCAAATTTCTCACAATAAGGAACTGTGTAGATAAACTCTGGTTATGGAAACACTATGTAACAATCAAATTTAATAAAAATGTCAAGGATGTGGGTGATGTCCATAACTAAAAATAGATATTCATCCAATCACACCTCACACATTTAAGCAATATACTAGGTAGAGAGAGCCACCTGAGAAAAATGCGCTAGAGCAATGCTTCTCAAATCTTAATGAACTTAACTATGAAGCATCAGAGAATTTACCAACTTTTCCACTTAACCCTCATTTGGGCCCAGGCGTTATCTGTAAAATAGGATTCTCCCGAGGAAATGAGAAGTTAATTATAAAAAGTAACAAAGTGGGCTGAATCAGAACGGGACGGAACGGTCTGCAAGGCCTGCAGCTTAACCGCAAGCTTCTCAAACTGCAGCACTCCACATTTTCCTGGGGCGGCCTTTTTCCGCGCGGGTAATTTAATACCGACAATAATAAAACTGGACAAACGGTGGAGGAAAAAGCTAAGTCAGTTTGGATCTTTGCTGAAGGCTCGAGGCAAGAAGCTGGGAGCCCGCGGCGGGGCCGGGGGCTCCGCCCCCAGATCCTCCCCCCGCCCTCGGGGGCGCTCAGGCGGAAAAGTTCCGAGGCGCCGGCGACCTCGGGGCCTTTCGGCTCCCCAGCCTTCTCGCTCCGCTTCCTTTGCGTCGACCTTCATCTCCGTCTGCCTCTGCCCACATCCCGGTCTCCGGCGACGGGGCAAAGCAAGCGCCCGCCACCCCGACCCCGACTCCGGGGGACGACCCTCGCCTCAGGAGCCCGCTCGCCCCGTCCCCGACCTCGGCCCTCAGCCCTCAGCCCTCAGCCCCGGGACCCTCGGCCGGGTCACACTCACAAGAGGAAGCTCATCTTCTAGACTCAGAGGGGAAGGGAGGGGCCGCTGGCCCCCGCCGCGGTCAAGATTCGGAGCCGGCGCGGAACCGAGAGGGAGCGACGGTCTTCAGCCGGCGGACACCGGAAGCACGGTCCTCTGCTGCTTCGAGTCGGGGGTCCAGCCGGTACAAGCCAGCGCAAGCCTCTGCACTCACCTAGCCCGCCTCCCCAACCTCGCCGACCCGAAATGCGGAACCAGCAAAATCTCGCGAGAGAAGGCTTCGCTCCGCCCCACCCCGTCGAGAGGGACTCGACGCTCCCCTTTTAGCCCCGCCCTCTCCTACAACTCAGCCAATCAGCAGCCTCCTGACTGGGACTTCCTTCTCTCGAAGGGGTGGTAGGGTTGCGGTCCTGGGCCTGGTCTCGTGCTTGGTCCACACTCATTTTGCTGGCTTCCGTCCCTGTTTTCTAGACGCCAGGGGGTTTTTGTGAGCGCTGCAGTTTTTTAAAATTTTAAATGGATTTTTAAATTAAGATATAATTCACATAGCCTAACATTCACCCTTTTAAAATGTACATAGGTTTTTTTGTATGTTCACAGAGTTGTGCAACCATCACCACTATCTAATTCTAGAATATTTTCATGACCTGGAAAAGAAACTGGTGCCCATTAGCGGTCACTCACCATTCCTCCCTTCTCCCAACCCCTGGCAACAACTGTGTACCTCCTTTCTATATGGATATGCCTAATCTAGAGATTTCATATAAATGGAATTATACAATATGCGGTCTTTTGTGACTGACTGACTTCTTTCACTTAGCATAATATATTCAAAGTTCATCCGTGTAGTAGCATGTATCAGCACTGCATTCTTTTTATGGATGAATAATATTCCATTGTATGAATATACCATATTTTGTTTATCCATTCATCTGTTGATGGTTTTTAGGATTGTTTCCCCCGTGTGACATAACCAATAATGCTGCTGTGAGTCATTCCTGTACTGGTTTTGTGTGGACGAATGTGTCCACTAGGAGTGGCTGGATCATATGGTAACTATATGTTTAACTTTTTGAGGAACTGCCAGACTGTTTTCCAAATTGGCTGCACCATTTTACATTCCCACTAGCAAATGTCTGAGGGTTTTAATATTTTCACATCCTCAATAACATTTGGTATTATCAGTTGTTTTGATTATGGTCATCCTACTGGGTGTGGAGTTGTATGTCATCATGATTTTGATTTGCATTTCCCTTTTGGCCATTGTTGAGAATCTTTTGACATGCTTATTGGCGATTTGAAACAAATTTATTTTTATCTTCCTTTACAGTTACCTCAGGCCACCAAAGGACCATTCAACAACACAAAAAGGGATGCTGGCTCAATAAGAGTCTCCATTCACTGTCTCCATGATATCACCATCTGTTTGTTCCTCTACACCTGTCAGTTTGGATTTTGCACCCCACCCGCCCTCCCATAGAAACTGTTTTCACCAAGCTCTCTAGTGTCTTAGTTTCTAAATTCCATGGGCATTTTTCAGTCATTGTCTTACTTGCCACTCAGTTCTACCTGGCCCATCCAAATGAGACTCCTCATTTGATCACGGTGATTTTATTTTTCAAAAACTTGTTACTCCCTATGATCTGGCTTCTATAAGGTAGGATTGGAGGCAAAGAAAAAGGGAGATCATGGCCAGAAATGTTGGGAATAGTCTACTTTAGCCAGGCTTTTTTGATAGCAAATGACAGAAACGCACACTGTTCATATTTCAATCACACCTGTCTTACATTTTTTTTTCCACTAGAATGTGAATTCTCTTAGGGGCAGAGACACAGCTTGATCGTTTGTCATCCCCAGTGCTTTAGCACAGTGCCTGGCACACAGAAAGCACTCAATAAATGCTTGTTGAATGAATGGGGATATAGACTGGAATTCCCAGTATAATAGAGGAGATTGACACAGGAATAAATGGTCATCAGTACAATATTACCAGTACTGATAAGATGAAAAGTGGAAGAATACTAGGCTTTTTATGACTTGGCCTTGGCTTAGTTTTCTAGCTTTGTTGCTCAAGTTAGTACTCCACCCAAAGAGCTCTTTGCTGTTTCCCCAATAAGCTCTGGGCCTCCTTGAGTCCATGCTCCTGTTCTTGCGATGCTTTCTGCCTGGAATGCCCCAACATCCACGTTGTACCCTGTCATTCCAGATCTAGCTGGAAATCCTCTGTCCTTCTTCTGAACTCTTGTAGCCCTTTATCTATATCCTTCTTACAATATATAATTATAGTTCAAGTTAAAAAGTTGTATTTACATATTAAATAGCTGTTGTGTTAAGGGTAGGAATTGGAGGGTTTATGTTCTTTTGTTCCTTTTGGTATATTCCAATGTTTCTCTAATAAGTAAATACTAACATCATTTCTTAACTTTTTTTTAAAAGAAAAGCAAGATTGAGTAGTGACTAAAAAAGCTCATATTTTGGAGGTGACCATCTGGGTTTGAACCCTGCCAGTGTTACTTAGTGACTGTATGACCTTGAGTAGTTTCATAATCTTTTGCCTCAGTTTTCTCGTCTGTGTAATGGGGGACAATTTCATAGCATTGTGAGGATTAAATGAGTTAAGGTATAGAACTCACTTAGATATTTCTTAGAACATAGATATACTCAGTTAACACTTGCTATTTTTTTAAGGTTTTTTTGTTTGTTTGTTTGTTTTTTGAGGAAGACTGGCCCTGAGCTAACAAACAGGGCCAGTCTTCCTCCTTTTTGCTTTTTTCTCCCCAAAGCCCCAGTAGATAGTTGCATGTCATAGTTACACATCCTTCTAGTTGCTGTATGTGGGATGCCGCCTCAGCATGGCTTGATGAGCAGTGTGTAGGTCCGCGCCCATGATCCATACCGGTGAACCCTGGGTGCAGCCTGGGAACTTAACCGCTATGCCAGTGGGCCTACCCAACATTTGCTATTTAAAAAGGAAGAAATTTTGATGTGTTTTATCACCTCTATTAGATGACCAGCTTCCTGAAAGCAAATCCTTGATGTATTTATCAGGGATTTATCAGGGCAGATATTCAGTAAATATTTGCTAAATAAATGCAATAGGGTATTGGGCTAAATATTATTTAGACCGATTTTTTGACTGATGCAGTCCCTGATTTCAGTAGCTTTCATTTAGCTTGGGAAGTAGTTGCATCTGTTTGCCCAGAGAGTACATTTCCACTTTTTTTTTCTTTTTTTTTTAGACCTTTATCTACCCCAGATTTCCCCTGTGGAGAACAGTCTTTTGGTCAAATGGCAGTGAAATGACCAGATATGGCAGTACATATTTTCTGGGAGGGATGGAAGTGTCTGGATCCTTCCCCAAAACACTTTTACAAGGAAGCCATGTGAGAAAACCATAGACATATTATATCACTAAGATACTGGAATGAGAGCCACAAGGAAAGTCCTACGCTGGTTCTGTACCCGTGGCTTCTGAGAAAGAATGCAGCCATTAAATGCTAGAGCAGTGGTTTAAACTCGAAACTAGATCTGTGTGTCTTGGGTACCTGTGTATTTTCTATGAGAATTTTTTTGTATGGCATTTTCAGTTTGTTGTACTCACTTTCTCTCTCACACACACATACAATTATTCTAGACTGTGTAGTCTAATAGAAATATAATGTGAGCCACATGTGTAATTTAAAATTTTCTAGTATATAAAATTTTTTAAAAGCAAAAATAAAGAAAACCAAAAAGTGCAATTAATGTTGATAATATATTTTATTTAACCTAATATATCCAAAATAATGTGATTTTAACATGGAATCCATTTTTAATGAGATATTTTACCTTTTTTCCATTCTAAGTCATCAAAACATGATGTGAGTGTATTTTGCATCTACAACACAACTAATTCAGACTAGACACAATTTCAAGTGCTCAGTAGCCACATATGGCTGGTGGCTGCCATACTGGACAGTGCAGTTCTAGATCATCTGTATGATCCTCTGATAACACAATTTCAGTACTGTAGGTCCATTGGTGCTTGCTCATATTGGTACCAAAGTGCCAAGTTGTAATGATCAAATGAAACATTAACAGAAGCAAATGATATGAAAACAATGCATTAGCACCAAGTGACAGCCACATGACAGCATGATAGAATGAAGAAATCAAGGAAAAGGAACATTGTGGGAGGATCGAGTCATAGCTCAGCAAATGATGGTGCGGGATGCCCAGTGCAAAAGAACTTGACCTGTACCTGTCACTACCATATTCATGTTGCCGGTGATTTTATTTCATCCAAATATAACCTCTCACATTAAGTAATGATGTTATTTTGATTTTATTAACTAGTAGTTTTCTTGGTGTTTAATTTATAACTGTGTGATTTGATAGCTGTATAAAAGCTATCAAAGCTGTATCTAGCATAAGGATATTTATAGATTTATACTTTTATAATAATTTATATTATTTAAATAATGTAATTATCATAAAAATATTTCCAGACAGCATGGGGAGAAAGGAATTCATGAAGGTTTTTCCCACTTTTAAAAGTGGGATGGTTCTTCAAGTTGGAGAATCACTGAGAATATAAAAGGCTAGTTACTAATTAGAAAACCTTTCGGGATATCTAGATTGGGGGGTGGGTAGGAATGGCAGTAGGGTGCCTCAGCGATCTGGAAAAAAATCCAAGGTCAGTATTTGACCAGCATATCAATATAGTCCATTTAGGGATTAAAGATAAGATTTGTGTGTGTGAGAGAGCAATTGCAAAGTGCTACGGGGCAATTTGTTCCCCTCCAGACACAGACTATAGTTTGCAAAGACAGGGGAGGTTCTACTCCCTCCTTGGCTCAGTTGGCCAGAGAGATCACTGCACACCATCTGGTCACAGCAGATGCTGAAAGCAGAAGTTAAGCAGCAAATTATAAAGCCACCAGTACTGCCTTTTCAGAATCCCTCCTCCCCCACCCCCCATCTCCATTCATTGTACAGTTCCCCTTTCCAGCTCACTAGGGCAGGATTTGCAACCTTGCATTTTCATTCTGTGTCAGTGTCCTGTCTCATCATTTGCAAAACTCTAGCTTTACGTGAACAACCTCAACCACACAGGGCCTTCTTCCCACTTTGGTTCCCACAACAAGTTTCCTGCCCCTCCCAGCTAGTCAGTGCTCTCTGGGGCAGCTGATGCTTTAGCCTGGGTCCCAAGTGAGTGGAAAAGACAGACAGTAAAGTTGCTAATCCATCCCTGCGTGTTATCTCAGGACTCAGGT